GGGGGGGGGCTTGAATCACACAGGCATAACCTACCAAGGTATCGTTCAAACTATGAGCTTCATAAGATGCTCTCGAGATTTCATCCAACCTCTCTGTCGTGAGAGTTCTGGTCGCCACGTCCAAATGGTATGTCTCGTAATGCTGGCGGGCTAGCGGATACTCCTGCTCGGGCCGCTCCACAACAGTTTTCGCAGGGCTTTTTTCGAATCCCAAGAGGGACAGTCGTACAGGGGGGGTGTCTCTTTCCCATCCGTTATCTAGAAATTTGCAGTAACGATCAAAGAATCTCTGCAAGTCTTCGTTCACGTCCTCTCGATATAGGTCGTACCACTCTTGATACGGGTGCACACGCAGCCACTTTTGCGCCGATCCGGCTGTTCGAAAGGTCTCAAATGAGCCACGAGAGTGTAGACCTGTGGAGTATGAAGCAAGTATATACATTGGCAAGTCGATTTTCTCCGGGTGAACCCGTTTGCTGGCCCAGTAGTCGTCGAATAGTGGACGAAGCTTATACATGCTGGGCATATCCTCCATGTAGTTCATGCCCGCAAAACCCGTCATCATCCGCTTGTGAAACTTGGGGTTGTGTGGCATACCACCGCGGACAATCAAGTCTCGGTAAGCGTCGGTCAAACCTTCGAGCGGGGCTAGGGCCTTGAGCGCTGGATGCTTCAGACGTGCGGCAAAATTGAGCTGAGAGGTGGCAAGCCACGAGTTGCCCACCATGCCCACCGATCCATTGCACCATGACTGCTTGGAGAGCCAGTCGATAGTATCATAGATATCCCGGGCGTCTTGCTCGCCCCACCAGCGTATGTTACCCTCCGACATGCCAGCGCCGCGAGCGTCAATATTGATAACAGCATAGCCCCGTGCGCACCACTCTGCTGGGTCAGGGGCCTCGAACTTCTCGTAGCCCGAGGTACGTTCCAGCGGGATGCCGCTACGGAAAGGACCCATGGTGTCGTACTGCTGTGGGCCTGTACCGGTCTTGCCATATGCGCTCCATGGAATCAGTGCCGGTACTCGACTAGAATCGTTGGCAGGACGGAATACATCAGCGTAGATGCGTGTGCCGTCTGACAGCGTGATGGTTACATCACGGTCATAGATAACATTGATAGGGAAAGCCTTGCGCCCAGGGGCGCGCATGTGCCCTTTGGCAAGCACTGTTCGTTCGGGTCGGAAACCATTGTAACGGAACAAAGGGTGCACAGCTGGCGGGCTAAGCTTGACAAACTTAAGGTCTGGGAACTGTAAGTCTTTTGGAACAGACATTGTGAAGAGTATCGTCTGTTTCGTTGTTGTTTTACTGTTCGTCTTGGAGTTATTTCAGCTGACAATCAAAGTTGAACCTCATATAGATATAGGTGTGCGGAAATAGAAAAAGACCCGTCCCAATGCACGTATTTCCCACCGCATTGTGGTGGGGAAGTAGAGCTATAAAGTATGCAAATAACTTGGTTTAGTTAATTCAGCGTTATGTAATTATATAATAGTACTCCGACAAGTGATTATCGGACATGACTCTAAGTAGTAATATTCATGCCATATGGATACCCATCACGATTCAACATTCAATTAATGATACCTTTCTATGCATCGAGCCCCAACTTATCAATGTGATATCGTGGGAAACGCTCGGCATTTGACCGCTGTCGCGTCCAAAAGCTGCGATGTCTCCACAGCGAAGTTGAGGCCACGAATTCGTGAATGCCTGCTCGAAATGTGCATATGTGGAACAAGGATCACACCTTTGAAACTGTGGACAACCAAAATGCCGCTGATTCAGCGGCCTCGCAGGCGGCATAAGTGGTAGAGACAAAAATAAAATCGTAGCGCTCACCGGTGGTTTCCATGTTTGAACCATACCAACCAAAAGCGCTCGATAGCTTTGCCCATGAACTGGTCAGTTGAGTAATTAACGGTGATATTATTTATATTAATTTATCGCAATACGGCTCTAGAAAATCCATCGCACCTTAAGAGTAACCTGTGCTACATTTCGAAAACTCACAAAATTGCGTTAAGATTATTGCTGGTATTTAAGCTGATTCTACTTTCTCATTCCACTTTTGCTGATACGATATTTATTATAAGATATGTGAAAAGAGACACTCGTATCGTAACAACTGCCTTGCATGGACAGACGTAACACTGCAGATTCTTTCCCCGATAGGCTCGGTTTTCTCGCCGTGTGAAACTAGGATCCCTAGCATCCTTGAGCGGCCCGCCCGGAACTGGCCATAATGGATACCGATGCGAAATCTTAATCACTAGATCCGGCATTCGGTAATTATAAACGGCTTCTCCTCTTCTCCGCACGGCTTCTCCACAAGACTGTTTAGAAACCATGCCCCACGAATCTCCACAGACTTGCTCCCTTCTAACCTACCTAGTAGGCTATCACTATCACATTCATTATCCATACCAGCAATCAATCCTTGTTTAATTTCGCATATTAAGATATTCATTTGTTCGCTAATTTCTCACGTTCTTTGATATCACTAATAATTGCTGTTTATAACATTAGTCTTGCTAATCATTATATATTAAGCTATTGTTCCGCTGTAAAGACAACGGCAATTGAATATTGAACAAATACATTTATAACATAAACCTCTTATATTTGCCTTTAAAATAGACTGGGTATACTCGGCTGAGACAAAATCGCAATGGAATCCGTCGATAAAGACTCGCGTGAGACTTCAGCAACACATGCCGAGCTATCGCAACGAAACGCACCAAACAACTATTATGGTTTAACATACCGAACAGTTCTTGTGTTCCTAGTTAGTCATTTGACCCATTGCCGTTGGCTTCATACTGTCGCTAAGCACAATTAGGCGATCACGATGATATCATTTGTTCAAGTCGTTAATCTTATCGCCGCTGGATCAGTATGATTTTGCCTTTGTATTTACCGTGTCGAAGTAATGGCTGATTTCACACTAGTTAAGCACGGCTATAGTCGCCGAGCTTGGCGGCTCGAACTCCCAGATCTGGCTTTCTCAAGCTATCGCGATCACCACGTGTGTTCTCGCGTTTCCAGTCTCCCAAGCTGCTGACTACTGGGGACGTAGGTGGCTTATCTTCATCTCCACTCTCCTCGGCAGCATTGGATGCATAATTGTATCCCGAGCAGAAAGTATGAATGCAGCCATAGCTGGTGAAGTAGTGACCGGCCTCTCTTATAGTTGCCAGCCGTTACTATACGCGGTTGCTTCTGAAATCTTGCCGCGCCGCGTTCGACCTCTTGCACAAGGTGGGATGAATATTTCTATTGCTCTCGGCGGGGTGTTTGCCCTTCTCGTTGGGGGGTTATTCGGGAGCTCATTTGTTGGCGGCTTTCGCGTTTTCTGGTATATTATTGCTGGTCTCTACTTTATTTCTGCCGCCCTATTCATCGTGTGCTATAATCCACCTTTACGAAGTACGCAATTATCTCACACGGGAAAGGAGAAGTTGGCAAAGGTAAAGTTTCTCATGATTATACCGCTACTCTTAAGCTGAAAGTTATATTTTAGCTGGACTGGACCGGCTTTTGCCTGATAGCCTCGGGGCTTACTCTTTTCAGTTTGTCTTTGACGTGGTCTGGAAACCCATGTAAGCTATTCCCCACGACACCGCCGCCCTTCTACCCCAGCCCTCCTCCTTTCTTGTATATAACTGAATTGGGGAAATATAGACAGCTGGAATGATGCACATATCATCGTACCTTTTGTTATCAGCATTACCTTAATCATCGCTTTCCTCATTTTTGAGATACGTTTCAAGCGAGATGGTATCCTTCACCACGGCCTTTTTGCGAGTCGAAACTTTGCTATTTCCATCACGGGTATTTTCATAGAAGGCATGAACTTCTTCGCTGCGACGAATTACTTCAGCTACGAAATCACGGTTTTATACGATGATGATGTCTTCTTTGCGAGCTTAAAGTTTACCATCACCTTTTTTGTTGCGATCGTCGCATCGCTATTTGTGTCCATTTATGCCTCGAAAAGCAAAAAATTGCGATGGCCAATCGTGTTTGCTTATTGTTGTTTCACGGTCTTTGACGCCTTGATGGCATCCTTGACATTGGACGGCGCCATATTTCTCTGGATCTGGCCTATCTTTTTAGGCCTTGGTTTGGGCTTCTGCTTAACATGTCTAGTCACCGCAGGGCAAATAAGTTCATCGCCTGAGCTGATTGCTCTATCAAGCGGTCTGATGTTCTCCATGCGTTCGGTTGGCGGTACGATCGGTTTACCCATCTACTCGGCACTTTTCAGTACGGGAACAGCAAAGTTAAGCCCTAATATTGCCTCTGCTGTACTACCGCTTAACCTCCCCGAACAAAGTCTCCCAGGATTCATGTCCGCCTTGCTGAATAATGATCAAGCAGCACTGCAGTTGATCTCAGGGGTGACGCCGCAGATTCTCGAGGCAGGCGAGAATGCAGTAAAGCAGACTTATTTGAACTCGTTCAGAAATGTCTGGCTTTTCACAGTTGTTGTATCAGCTGCGGGCATTCTCGGTAAGTATATGACAAGCCAACCGGATCTTCAAGATTATGCTAATGTGTTCCTAGTCACTTTCTTTACGAAAGACTCCGATGCCAGCTTTGATATGCACGTCGATGCCCCCCTTGAGGACCCGGGACCAAGATTTAGGGATCTTTGACCAAGCCGAATGGTGCTCAGTCTTTGCGATTCGTCGTTGCGAGGCGTTAGCTTGGGCTTTGCCCGTCGTAGGCTCACCGAATGGGATCCGGGGCAGCTGCACACAAGACTGTTTGGTATTGCCCTATAGACGCTGCGCGAAGCCTCTTTGAGCTGACTGAAAAGCGACCCATGAGATTTGACTCGTCTTTCTGGTTCAAGTTGGATGCTCTGGTTGGTCAATGTTTAGAGGTACTGATTATTCTGTGAAATTCTCTCGAGCAGGTCTTTGAAACGGGAGCCCGTCGTCGCAACTGAAACCCTTCACCTAGAACGACGGGAAAAAACTTTATTCTCATTGGGCATTTTACTCTTCGAGATACTCTCTTTCGAGACCCTCGATCACATTTGGAATGAAAAGAATGAAAGGTCTGCACCGAAAGCCGTGGGCCAGTTTCATATTGGAAAGCTACGGCAGACTTGCTAAATGAAATTCAAATGCAGAACTCATCAAAGTTTTACAGCGCTGTCCATCGCTTTCTGTTTTGCGAATTCACTTGTTTGGACTTTTCGTCGGGCGATGAACCTTCTTGTAGAGAGGTCTATGGAAAGACCATTTCTCTGATGGAGAAGACTTTTGTCCTCCCAGTCTCTTTGGTGGCGTAGTAGACTGAATGGTACAATAAAAAGAGTTCGTGCCACAATCTATATCCGGGGAAGCTTAAATCCGCCCCAGTTTTGTCTCGTGAAGACATCCAGGGGATCATACAGACTTCTTACGTCTTTCATTTTCTGAACGTTTTCCGCTGGAAATCCAAGAAATGGGTCCTGAAATTCTGATGCATCGCCCATGTAAAGGAATTCCGACGCAAGGCCTTTGGCTTGGTTTTCGGCATGCAGCTCGTCCAGAACTCCGCGCGCGAAATTCGTGACACGCAAATCGCTGGCTGCATTATCCCATCCAGTAGAGGTTTGCCAAACTATGATTCGTGTTAGCAAAGGCACGAGCAACATCGTTTACCAGTCTCCACAGCTATTACTCACTGATCAATGGTTCCTTGTCGTCCAAACCCCACACATTGCCGATGCCGTTATTCTTGGCTACGCTCATGGCACTCGATGCCATGGTGTTGAGGACGAGTGTTGGGATCAGTCCTTCCACGTCACTAATGTCCTCAACGGCGGCTTTCCATGCCTCGTAGATACGGTAGATCTGGTCTGCATCCGGCTTAATTGTCTTGTGACCAAATTGGATGCTTAATCGCATGATGTCAGCACATTTTCCAATTCGACCGTTTCAATGCAACTGAAAAGAAAAGCAGGAACATACCGGAACATTTGGAATGGCGAATCCAACTGGTCGTGGAACTCAAGGGGCTTCTGCACAACGTTCTGGGTCAAAGTAGACGGAAGTTCCGAGAACTTCTGAAAGCTGGACGGCGGCGACTCGGTGCCTTCCTGAACACCGCGAAGAACGGCCGTCATGGACTTGGTGGTGGTGTTGTAGGATATCGTGATGATGGACCCCGCGCCAATACTGGGGTCTTGACTTTTGGTCAAATCGACGGTGGCATCAATAAACTCGCGAATATATGATTCGTTAAAGACCTGCAAAGTCGTGCTAACCTGGTGAATCGGCAGCGTCTTGAGCACAAACTTGGTAACCACTCCGAAGTTATTGGCGCCGCCTTTGAGCGCCCAGAAGAGATCTGGGTTGGACGTAGCATTGGCGACCACCTGTGTACCGTTGCCCAGAACAACATCATAGCTCACGACGTTATCCATGGCGAAACCGTACTTGTTGGTCAAGTAGTGGAAGCCGCCAATCAGGCTCAGGCCGGACACGCCAATCGTCTTCATGCGGCCGCCAATGCAATACAGGTCGTATGCATCGAGCGCCGAGTATACATCAACCCACTGATTGCCGGGGCCGACCTGGACGGTCTTATTGTCAGGGCTGACTTGAATGTCTTTGAGATTGTTGAGGGCGAGCACCACACCACCGTCGATATCGTTGGCACCGGGAAACTAAGACAAATAACAGTGGTTAGTAGTTGGATGGAAAGGTCTCGAGTTGCCACTCACATTCATGTGGCCTACGGCACGAATGGCAAACTGTGCCCCGCATGATGCAAGGATGGCCATACCCGAAGCCACCTCGGCGGCATCATTGGGGAGGAAAATGCACTTGGGCGCAAGCACAGCGCGAATGTCGTAATAGTCTTGAGCCTGGACGGTGTAGTTTGTTGAATTTGTGGTCAAGAGAGAATTGCCAAATTGAGCGGCCAGTTGCCCGCATGCGCAATCAGCACCTGCGCTCAGAGTTGGGAGTTGATCGAGACGGGTTGCAGAGGTCGTATTGGATGCAGCGTATTTGGCCGCGGCGGCAACGCCGAGGCCAAGAGAGAACAGTGTTTTGACGAACATGGAAGATACTGTCTAGAGAATGAAAATGAAAGAATGACTAAGATACTGATGCCAGTAATTCCTAAGTTTGGACAGACTGCCGGGGATGTAGCATTCTTATATCCAATCGTTGCGTGGTAGCTGTCAGCCTTGTAGACCCAAAACTTGGTGATCTTGTCCTTGTATGGAGGCATGACTAGGTACCCAGTATAGTATTCGGCCGTTCTTTTTACGCGTTTTTGTCACTCTTAATATCAAAGAGGCGGTGCTCTGAATCGCAGGCAGCCTTGGAAATAGGAGACATGTGAAATACGCGTAAATTCTTGTAATTTATGGGGTTCTCAAGCCAAAGGGTTGCCAGCGGCCCTAAAAAGGCAACGTTGGGCTGGGCGGTGCATGCCATCAGGGGCAGTTAAAGCCGTTGAGTCTATCTAGTCCATGTGCCGGCAGTACATAGTACTACACACACCGGCATGACGGCAGCAGGGACCACAAAAACAACCCAAGCTTAAATCTAATATAGGCACGACGGACTGTATTATGTAATACGAAAAATACGAGAGTGCAGGGATTAGGGGCGCATTCGGGAAACAAACACTCAGATCTTCATTAACGTGAGTTACATGGCATGGAGAGACTGTGTTCTATACCTCGTTCGTAATGGTTGCCTGATTTTCGATGGGTGGTCTAGTTTTGATCACAATGTCAAGTAGGAACCCAGAGCCCCTTTCATTTTGCCTTGGCAACAGGTGATATAAGAGTCAAGACAAGGTCCGATATTCTCATCACGACATATCAACGACTCATCTCCCCAACTCTTCCCATATATGAACTCTTTTCAAAATGCGCTCATTGGCATTAATATCACTTGCCTGGGTGGGCCTTGTCAATGCTGCATCTGCGTCCAGTGGTAGGTGTACACTTGATCCCCAAATGTATTCGGCAAAATTCTGACAGCAATAGATTGGGATGCTGCGGTCGGAAAGGCGAATGATTTCCTCTCACAGTTGACACTGGCTGAAAAGACGGCTGTCGTGACCGGCGCGAACCCATTGACAGGACTTGGCTGCATCGGGAGTATTGGACCCATTTCACGACTCAACTTTAGCGGCATATGTTTCTCTGACGGCTCCTCTGGAGTCAACCGTGCCGACTTGACCAGCGTATTTCCGGCCGGGCTTACAACAGCGGCGACATGGGACCGCGACCTCATGTACCAACGCGCCGCTGCAATCGGCGACGAGTTTCGTGCCAAGGGCATGCACGTAGTTCTTGGGTGAGTCGCCACATCCCATGACTTCAGCATCATAGTGACAGAGACTAACTACTCTATCAAACAACAGTCCAGTCGCCGGGCCTCTTGGACGCCACCCGCTGGGCGGTCGTAATTGGGAGGGATTCTCAGCAGATCCATATCTGACTGGCGTTGCAATGGATCACAGCATCCGCGGATTCCAAAGCACGGGTGTCCAAGCTGTGGCCAAGCACTACATCGGAAACGAACAAGAGACTCAGCGGACCAATCTGACTTTGGCAGATGGAACCAACATTGATGCCGTCTCGTCCAACATGGATGACCGAACCCTGCACGAGGTATATCTCTGGCCATTCGTGGATGCCATCAATGCCAAGCCAGCTGCGGTCATGTGCAGTTACAATCGGTTCAACCAGACGTATACTTGCGAGAACTCGAAGCTCCTCAATGGTATATTGAGAGATGAGTTGGGCTTTGAGGGCTATACAGTATCCGATTGGTATGCAACGCACTCTACAGAAGATTCGATCAACGCTGGTCTGGATATGGAAATGCCGGGTACGACCGTGCCTGGACAAGGAGTCTCGTGGTTCGGAGATCGTGTCGCAGCGGCCGTAGAGAACGGAACCGTATCGACCGACAGACTCGATGAAATGGTTCGGCGCATCATGACCCAGTACTATTTATTGGGCCAAGACATCACCGACTACCCTACTCTCGATCCTTCCTCCCTTTCCGTCATTGCATCGCAGTATCAGCAAGAACTCGGCTCTCTCGTCACCAACCCTCCAGCACGCGACGTCAGAGGAGACCATGCCACGCTCATTCGTCAAGTCGGAGCTGCAGGCGCTGTCCTCCTCAAGAATGTCAATGGTACTCTACCCCTGGTGTCCCCCGCCAACATTGGAGTGTTTGGCAATGACGCCGGTGATCTGACGGATGGGCTCGTCTATCAAGATCCGCCAGCCACAAATGTCGGGTTCGAGTACGGCACACTTGACATTGGTGGAGGCTCTAGCAGTGTCCGACACACCTACGTGGTTACGCCGTTGGAAGCCATCAAGGCGCGCGCTCGGCAGACAAATGCCAGAGTACAATACATTTTGAACAATGAGCGACTGGCGGTTGGCGACTTTCATAGCATATACCCGGTTCCCGATGTGTGCATCGTGTTTCTCAAGACCTTTGCCGCCGAAGGGTTTGATCGGGTATCTTTTGAGGCCGATTGGAACTCGACTGCGGTGGTAAATCAGGTGGCTGACAAGTGCAACAACACTGTGGTTGTCACACACTCGGTCGGCGTCAACACCATGCCTTGGGCGAACCACACAAATGTCCGAGCCATCATTGCCGCTCACCTTCCGGGCGAGGAGACGGGCAACTCCATTGCCGACATTCTTTGGGGTGATGTCAACCCATCCGGGCGGCTGCCATATACGATTCCAGTCCAAGAGGCAGACTACGATATCCCCATTGCAAATCTCACTAGTGACGAGGTCACTTACCCTGGTGCATGGCAATCCAATTTCACCGATGGACTTTTGATTGATTACCGACATTTTGATGCGCTTGACATCGAACCACTGTATGAGTTTGGATTTGGACTGAGTTACACCACCTTTGAATTGACCACAGATCTCTCGATTACACCATTATCATCAGCTGCTCCCGATCCACTCCCAGCCGGCAATCAATCCAATCCACTCACTGATTTTTACGCGCCGCTCGTCAACGTGACAGCCCAAGTCGCGAATACGGGCGACAGGGACGGCGCCTCCGTGGTCCAACTATACCTGTCAATGCCCTCGGAGTCGACTCCAGCCGGGACTCCTGTGCGTGTTCTCAGGGGCTTTGAAAAGGCACAGCTGGCCACAGGCGAAGCAAAGAGCGTGGTGTTTCAATTGAGCCGAAGGGATCTCAGTTATTGGAGCACCGTTGATCAGGCGTGGCGCATACCGGCCGGCCAATTCCAGGTTCAAGTTGGCTTTAGCTCCCGAGATCTGCCAAAGTCAGCACAGCTGTCCATCTTGTGATACTCAGCATATCATTAGGACTTGAACCGTCAACACATTCATTGGCGACGATGCGAGCTCGAGAGGTAGTTTTGTCACCATTATCGGGAAAGCGTATCAAGTATCTTTACCAAGTTTCGTAGACCTGTTATAATAAAAAGCTCCATTATGCCAATATTGGTTCATTTGACTACAATACCTCAAATGTATATAGTTCTAGTGACCAGCGACTCATTCGGAGGTTTTTTTTTTTTTTTTTTTTTTACTTAAAAAGAAAAAGCATATCGTTGGTTATAATGCATGTGGAGACGAAGTCATGGTGAACATGAGGGCAGTAAATTTGGAGAAACGCCTCCACCGGCATCAATGGTGCTGAACTTTGGGGATTTACACCCCGGAATGTATAGTGGTCCCGAAAAACGGCACGATTCCGTACCGAACCGGGTGAAATCCCTGACTCGGCAGGCGATTTGCCCGTTATTCCGTAGGTCTGGAGCATCCACCTCCAAACAACCATGTTTGATTTGATGCTGTTACTCTTTGATCACTACTGGACCTCAAGCCACTTGGGTTTCGTATAGTTCACTAAAGTCGAATGCAACATCATGGCCGTGACCCATCGCGTAGCTGTGATCACAGCACTTGCATGTCTTCTTGTGGTTACCGGTGCGCAGACAACGACGACTTCTGGAAGATGGCCAACGCAGACATTCATCACGGAGCCAGGCTTCCATCCACCACTAGCTGCGATCAACCACACAGACGACTCTGCTCTGGCTCCGGGGTTGATTGTGTTTTCTCAAGATGGCACCTATGCGCCGGAAAATGTGGCTTTGATCATGGACCGTAACGGAGAGCTGGTGTGGCAGACGGATCCCACGATTGGCGACATCCAGGACCTCAGTCCGTTTACACTTTTTGGAGAAAACGTCCTGATTAGCTGGAATGGGACAAGTAACAATGTCAATGGCGATTCCTTTGGGACTGCAACCATCTGGAATGACAGCTACGAGCCCATCTACAACATCACGCTGAGCGACCCCCAATTTGAGCACCTCTACGGCCAGTATGACTCGCTGCTCAACCAGCACGAGGTCTACATCACCTCCTGGGGCACCTTCTTGGGCTTGGTCTACGATCCCATCCCTGCAAATCTTAGCGCCGTCGGGGGCCCAGAAGACGGCTGGATCCGGGATGGCGTGGTCGTCGAGATAGACATCAAGACCAACGAGCTGTTCTTTGTCTGGCGCGCGTCAGACTTTATTCCCATTACAGATTCGTATGCTCCCATTGAAAGTGCGCGGAGTGGTTTTGGCAACTCGTCAGACAGTGGTTGGGATTATGTGCACCTAAATTCCGTTGCCGAGCTGAACGGGAATATTGTCGTTTCCAGCCGCCACACGTTTCAGGCAATATATATTGACAGGCAGACTGGTGGTGTGAAGTGGATTGTTCAGGTAGGTGGCAGTCTGACGAAATGGTCAACGATAAGATAATAGCATAATACTGAGACAACAACAGGGCGAGGGAAAGAGCAACTTTACCATTGATGCCGATGCCGTCTATCGCTGGCAGCATGACATTCGTATTGAGCAGACAGCTGAGGGCCTTATGATGCACCTGCACAACAATCAAAACAACTACACGCCACCGTACAACGTGTCCTCGGGACAGCTCATGCGTATCGACGAGGAGGTCGGTCATGTGTATGCCGTGCAGACTTACACGGACCCCAACGACCTCGTCTCGGCCTCGTCTGGCGGGAATTACCAACCTCTGGTCAATGGCAATGTCATCATTTGTCACGCCTCGCAGCCCGTCATCAAGGAGTACGCACAGGATGGGGCTCTGCTCTGGAGCTTCCGCTTTGGCCCGGCCGGCTATGCCACGGGACCTGGCATCGGCTCCTACCGTGCTTTCGTCTCCGAGTGGAGGGGCTATCCGAACACGGACCCCAAGGCGGCTGCTTGCCGACTAGCTAGTGGGGATCTCGCCGTGTTCATGAGCTGGAACGGCGCTACCGAGACTATAGCCTGGAACATCTACTCTGGTGAGAAGAGCTACGGACTCAACGCGGCAGCTACCAACGTGACAAAGTCTGGCTTTGAGACAAGCAATACCATTCCCGTAGCTCAGTATGTACAGGTCGAGGCTTTGGGCGGGAGCAAAGACCCCGGCCAAACTCGGAGGTCCGCTGTGCTTAATGTCACGGATGCTGCCCTCTGCTAGAGTGAGGTCGTGCGCGTACTATTGGAAGGGCACGGCCACGCCATGGTGCTAGGTACAATCTTTCAAGTTTTTACTGTGTAATAACAGCCTCATGCTCAAAATGAAAGTGCTTCGAGAGGTGCACAGGTAAGACAGGAAGATCGGTGCCTCGAGGAAAAAGCCTTTAATGGATCTACTGCTAAAGGCTTCTAATAACAAATGCGCCGAGACGGGAACCCCAGTATTGAGACAGAGCTTCTTAAGGCAAAATATAAAGCTACAGCTTTTATTTAAGAATATCCAGAATAGAAAGTTTGCTCCGCGCTAATTATTCTGATTTACGTCTCCTCCATAATTGCTATCCGTGTTATCCCACCACACAATCGTTTTGCGGCTCAGCCCTACAACGTTGAATATTATAAACACTACATACTACCTATGAAAGAACAGCGGGCGTACTATTAGAGAGAAAAGGAAGTAATGAGCCAACATAGGCCAATCCCATACAATCATTTCGTGTACAAGAAACAATTTCTGTTAGTCGTGAACACCGTCTGTTGGAGTTAGCCAGTACTTTCTAGTCTAGCAAGTGACGCTGCTTCCATGCCGCAGGTCCGACGAGTTTGCCTTCTTCATCTTTCTCGTCGCCCTTTGAAAAAGTCATTGTGTTATAATACATTGTGATGTACGGACCCTTCTCGTTGTATGACAAGCCGACATAAGAATGTCGCCCAATTGTGTTTGAGAAATCTTGAGTCGGACTATGAAGGTACAAAGTGCAATTAGTTGGATTGTACGAAACGAAGGAAGGCGGTTCATTGATGGGCTTGGAAAACAGGCACTTACAAGGCACGCTGCACCGCATCGACATAGGTATTTGCCAGATCCTCCAAGCCACAGGCACGAAAGAAATTGCTGAGCGACTGTGCAATTCGTAGATCGGTACCTCCATAATGCCTCACTGGTATGTACACCTTAGGCACAGGCATGGCGCGGTCATGCATCAACTCCATGTTGAATATGATGCCTGCCGTTCGATGTTTACTGCTTGGAAGGTCGTCTTCGGCGTTCGAGATGCCCAAAACGTGCTGGTAGAACGACCGAATGAGATTGACACCCTTATCGATCTCGGGGCCACTGAGTGTGCCCCCGAGGGTATACACCTCCTCCACGCGGGCCAGACACGTTTCCTTGGTGCGCATGTACACCTTGAGACGGGAGTCGGTGGGCGCAATGGCGTCAAAGGAGATCAGCTCGAGTCGCAAAATTTGCTCATTGTTGCGCTGACGCTTGTAATCAAAGACAAAGTCCCGTATGCTTTGAAACGATGGCGCGAGGTTGGACGGTAGCTGCCGGATGAGATCGGTAATGATCTCGCCAGCAGGAGTGTCCTTGAGCAAGGATATGGGGATGGTGTAGAAGTAGACTTTGGGCACGGGGTGCTGTCCGACTAAATCGAAGGAAATGGTGTTCGTTGTCATGTGCTCGTTGGGAGCCATCTTGGACACGATGTCATGAGCATGCTTGGCATCGACGTGGAGGTGCTTCACGAAGAAATCCCACAGCTGGTGATCGATGGCGCCTCCGCTTTGCTCTAGCAAACGGGACATGACAATCTTTGGTTCGTCTTGGTTGAAAGGGTCCTTTGCTGTTCCAGCATGCGGCCCAATCGGCTCAAAGCCTATACGGATCTTGGATGTCTCGGGCTCAACGTTCCAACTCAGCTCCAAGGGCGAAAAGTCGTCTGAACAGAAGCTGTCAAAGTGAGGCAGCCGAGTGCCCGACTTGGTCGTGCTTGGACGAGGACCCAGCGAGGGAATAATGAACTGTTTGACGAGTTGAACATAACGCTCCTGTTTGTCGTCTGAGTACCCAGTACTCTGCATGAGTGACAAGAATGGATGAGAGATTTCTTGCCACCAGAAATCTTCGTCCTCTCGGCTACCAGTGGAATGTGAATTGGGGATTGCCTCACCCATTGTGTTGGACTAGTCTAGGTAGTATTTGAGAGGCTATTTACTCACTTGAAAAACTATGTTCGAAAAGGTTGAAGCAGTGTGCAAGAATAATATCGATGTGAGTCTTGAGTAGATGTGACATAACTCTACCGACAATAAGTGCTTCTAGTTATATAGACCAGTGCCGTATATCAGACGTCGCGGAGTTTCCCAATAAAGACTCTCCATTCATGTCTCGTCCTTTAGTTCCAAGCACGGCCCTAGCACAAGAGAGAATACAAGCATCTATGGAAGACGTATCTTTAGAGATTGTGGCTTCTCCGTAATAGATACACTTTCAACTGAGTGCATTGATCCTTTCAGAAATATCTGCGACAACAATAACCTTTGCGCTCTGGGAGTTTCTGGCTCCTCAGAGTCCAATGATAACAATTGTTGCCCACTTTCTCTGCATGGGAAATCTCACAATGACGTGAAGTGTACGACTGATAGATGAAGGCATGATTTTGTGGCGACCTTTAAGTTTACGGCTGATGATTCGATGCATAATTCAGGAATTGAGGTCCAATCCTATCGTCTCAGTGTTGCACGGATGGTTGGGGAAACTTGGTAAGTGGATATCTGTTCAACCAGGCTTGGAAAGAGGCGGCAACGCTCTTGTGATACTGGTAGGACGTGAGGGCTGAACCTTTGGCATCCTTAGGTTTGCGCCTTTTTTATTATCTCCAAATGAATCAAGTTTATACCTGCAGTTTCAGTGTCACAAAAGCAGTTGAAGGGCTCGCTGACGCTCATATATGCTCTGAGCGTGGTACAGAGGCGTAAATTTTACGCCATCTCGTCCGATTTTCATCCCGTGCTTACGGCGGTTGGGGTAATTGACAAATCGAAGTTCTATGAAGAATAAGACTCAACCTTTGTTGTGCTCAACTATACAAGTTTACAACTCAAAGCCATTCGTGGCGAAAATGTGCCGTCTCTCAGCCACGGCTCATGTCTAGTCTAGAAAACCGGTTGCATTCTATGGTTCACCTCATCTCATATAGGCGGTGTACTTTTGTTTCGTGCTTTTCTGTGATACAGAACTGTTCGGTTCAAAGTCTATGGGTATACTTGAGTGTAAATCAAAATAAGATTCACGGAAAGTGTACGCGCCTGGACATCAATCCAATACATAGTGTATATCTGTATCTTAGCATACACGAAAAATACTATATGATTCCTAAGTCCGTCGCTGATCGTAACACGACTAGCAACACCCAAACCTTGCTTACAGCAAAACTCATGTCCCATTGAACAAGAGACATCAGATCATGGACTTTGCAACTCTTACTCAATACTGGCCACGGCAATTGGCATTTCTGCCGAGTAACTACACAGCCGCTGTATTAGCTGTCTTTGTGGCTATGGCTGTCTCGTTTAGTATCAGCTGGGCCAACGCGGGCCCTTCTATACCCAGAATCGCGAGTACAAAGTCTTGGTTCGCAAGTAGAAGAGACTTTGCCGACCATGGCATTGAGATTATCCAGAAGGGCTTTGATCAGGTTGAAAGTGGTGTATTTCGAGTAACTTCTCTGGACGGTGAGACTTCACCCACTATACTTCGTGTCATGCTGCGCACGCGGGAACGTTAGACTCACACGCTACAGGCTCCGACTTGGTCATTCTCGCACCAAGACACTGGTTGCATCTATGCAAGAAGAAGGACGACGAAATCGCCCCCGCTCGTGAAGAGGTATGCCTTTTCAACCCTTTACAAGATGATTTCTAAATAGAGCCTAGTTCTTTCGGTGCAGCTTGCACGGGGCAGCTTTCGACGAACCCTACCTGTACACCTATGTCAACGCTCGAATGCAGGGTTTCGGTATGTACTTACCCTGACAAAGGTGATATTTATCTTTTGCACTGACTCTATGGCATATGTCACAGACCGTCATTTTCACGCCATGTCACAGGCGCTGGACAAAGCTATGTTTGATGTCCTGGGTTCGGATATGGAATCTCCGACCGTGGGTAGGTCTGCCCAAACCTTCTGCTTGTCTCATCAAGCCCATGAACTTCAGACGCTGAATCGATGACTTCAGGCTTCAAGCGGGTTTTTATTCAACCACAAGTCATACATATATTCTCGCAAGCTACATGGAGGGTCTTCCTAGGCGACAGTTTCACATCCGAAGTCGCTGATATCTTCCAAAGATATGTGGCAGCTCTCATTCCTCTGATGAGAAAGCTTACGACACAAAGGCCCATGGTAGCTCGCCTCGTGGCGGCGTTCTCGGATGAAGTTCGCCAGGTGCATGAGCAGCTCAAGAGGATGACTGCATTATTCACTCCCATGCTTGAGCAGTGCGTGGATGCCGTCGAGCAGGGCACCAAACCTGACTCTGTCAATAATGAATGGTTCGAGGATCTAGTACGTTTGGCACCTGCCGAAAAGCGACGGGACTACAAATTCCTCACAAACATTTTCATTGGCTTTGCTTTCACCTTTATCTTTTCCCCTGTGCCGGTAACAACCCAGATCATCTTCGAGTTTGCGTTTCGACCTGATTATACAGAATTTGTGCTTCAGGAAACACAAGATGTCTTGGGAAAAAGACATGAGGATTGGGCTTTTTCAAAGGAGAATCTTCGCAGACTGTCGCTTTTAGATAGCTTCTGCAAGGAGACACACAAACATCATCCTACAGCCGCAAGTACGTATTATGACCTTCTCCAACTTGAATTACACCCTCCCCAAAGAGTCTGTCGCACATGGCCCATAGCCAACCAGAAAAGACTCAAGACAAGGTCAAGATAAGGTCGCTAACGATGCGGGGCTTTGCGGGTACACAGGCAACATGAAAAAGATCACGGTCAAACCACAGAACCTGGCCAATGGAGTCACACTGCCAGCCGGAACCGTTTTCGAAGTGGTCGAAATTGCAGCGCATCTTTCCAATCCAGCCTTTGAGGATCCGTCCACGTGGAACGGGCGTCGCTACTTTGACCTGCGCCAGAAAACATCCACAAGCACCAGCGCCACCAAGTATGACTGGGGCGCGGCTACGAGAGACGACCTGAACTTTGGCTATGCGACGCACATGTGTCCAGGTCGCTCGGCCGGATGCTCCATTGTCAAGATGTTCATGGTAAAGCTTCTGTCTCATTATGAGCTGTGTATGGTTGAGGGGGAGACTCAGCGGTATGAAGACGTTTACTTTGGTCAGTTTGTAAGTGGTACAAAGTGACACTTTGCTCCTGATTCCGAGATGAGCTTTTGGTGTTCTATACTGACACGCCAACTTATAGATCTCACCCAACCAGATTAAACCTATTTTAATCAGGCTCAAGAAACAGCCATAAATTTGTGGTCGAACCTACAGTCTAGCAAGAGCTTCCAGGTGTATAATAATCAAATAGTGCATGATGGATCCCGTGCAGTATGGTGTGCTATTGGACAAGGTATTTGACTTTCGACTCGCGAATGGTTATTTACATCCTGGATCGAAGGTCCAGCTCGCCCGCGGCTGAATCCTCGTGTTCATTAATTCTCTAGGAGTGGGACCGTTGATCCTGGCAATTGAACCATACAGGAAGAAATGCTTCGTGGCATTAGATCTGTACCATGTGGTCTCTGTAAGCCTACCGCAAAGAAATCTTGATTGACTATATATGCAAGTGATGAAAGATTGGGTCTTAGTAGCGCTGCTATTTTTATGACGATCAAGAGGATCCGAATCCTCCAAAGCCAATTCCTACACAGCATAGCCACGTAGAGAAGACAGTGCCAACCAAAACCGTTTTCGTCCATATATCAGTGATTGTTTGCACTGTGTGCATGTCGATAGATAGCTCAAAGACATGCAAGTAGTGAAACCCGATACAACTAATAAATACCGGCATGCGTCAGCTGCCGCCACGAGTCATTCAAGGCCAGGTGCTCTTATCACCCCACGCTGCCCACCGAGTCATGAGAACCGCAAATGTGCTCGGCGAATTTCACCATGTCGACGGGAAAGAGTCAGGATGTAAACGACTATACAAGCGTCATGAGTGGTAATTGGACGGACTGTGATTTCCTCTAAGTTACGATGTTCATCCATCGCAGTGTTGGTGAGTCTTGCGTTCAAAATTCCCGAGTAATGCGTGTGAATAGTGCCGTTGCCATGGCATGTGTACTTGGTTGAATAGATTGATACACCCGTCTCGACACCATCAAGCATGAGAAGTGAGACGACGGCCAGAGGCTCCGTCTTCATGTAACAGCAGTCTCATGTGCAGCAGCGGATCCGAAAGTGGCGTTCGTACTAATGAAAATCGTCTGGCTTATCGAAATGTATTCCCCTAAGACAATGAGTTTGCTCACCGGGAATATGGATTTCAAACCTTTGATACGCATTGGCTGTTGTGATTTATTACCTTTACAGATATGATTGACCAGTGTGGCCACCAAATGCTGAATGAGCCTTTCGCGTCCGGCATAGAAGTTTCTGAATCGGTAGCAGGAGTCTGCATTGAAAGCAGATGGATCAAAGTATTTCTCCCGCTTTGTGAAATGCTGTGTAGGTATGAATCGAACATGCAAGGACAATTGCTGCGGCGCCGAGTCTACAGTGAAATTGAAAGTTCCCGAAAGAGGTGGATAATACCACAGGTCGGATGGTTGGGGGTTGAAAGAGGCTGTAATGCAGTGACAACTGGCGACAAGACTGCGGTCCCTCAGGCTTCACTTATTGGAGTTTGAAATGCCGCGTGTCATGATGTATTCCTTTCATGGTATATGTGAGGGAAGCAGTAACCCCTCATCTGCTGTTGACATTTGCTGGTGCAAATGCATCATATGTGGGTTGGAAACCAGGATTCAGATAACGAGCGCATGAGGGTCTTTTTGTATCGATAGAGGCCATTGTTTTCCAGAAGATATCCAGTTGGGATGGCGACTCAGCGTTGCATTCAGTGTCCACTATACTCCATATCGCTTGAGCGGTGTGCAGCAGATGGGATGCCCCACGAGATCGTGATAGGCTAGGAGAATTGCTGGAAGGTGAGAAGCACGGCCGTTTTGTGGCCTGCCCCAGATCTGATCTGACTATGGAGACTACATCAGGCGTCTGAGAGGCTGGTGATGGTCCCTTGGGCCACATTTCGGGCTCTCCTTGGCCTCCCAGCATCGCCCGTGTTGCTCTTGGGAGATTCGGGCGTGGCACCGATCGGATTTGTGTCGCACGACCTGACGCACCCCACGGAACCCAATATATACTGCTGAGGTTAATTATAGAGAGCCGTTAGAATCATCCAATTTGACAATTTGAGGCTACATTGGGTAGTAAACCGGATGCATACTTCAGCAGCATGATATCACATGTGCAATCCGTCAGACTGTCAGCGTGAATATCTTGCAAGACTTGTGAGGGCCAAGGACAGATGTCAGCCCAACCGGAGGATACGGGACATCCGAGTGGACGGCCAGAGAATGCTCCTCGATTGGTCCCCGGTTCTCCGGCAGAGGTTGGAGGCACGTAGGACGGCTGATCGAGCTTCGATTGAAACGGATGGAAATATATCCACACATCACGCCGTTTCATCCTCCCGGCTTTCCCGGCGTCTTCACTTGGATCTTGACCTCATCGTCGGTGCACAGGCCGTCGAACGATGTGCCCCGCGAAGAAGGCGAGGAAGGAAAAGAAAAGCCCGGAATGCTGGATGAAGGGTCCGGTTAGAGGCGGTCAACACACCAGAGGTCGCAAAATGGAGTCCTGTCACGGGCAGTGGGGTGTCGTTGTTGCGCTTCGGCACATGCGCTAAACACATTAGCGGTTAGGGTGCACTGTTGGCGATAGGCGCCACTTGGTCCCATACAGGGCGTCGTCAGGGCTTCCGGCGTAGCAAGGTCTGACTGGTCACTGGTTGACGATATGCCAGATGATCGAAGCCCGACCGTACAATCCGTCTTCCGCGCTTCCATCTTGGGACCCTGGACTGGACACCCGGAATAATCACGAGCTGGGGAAGGAGATGCTTCAGGCTCGTGTCCTTCTAGAGACTGGAAGTTTAAGGGTTCGTGGCCGGGACTAAAGTGGTGACCCAGCATACATACATTCGCTACTGCAGTACAGCAAGGTCAGGATGGAGTCGAGGTGCTTCCGGGGTCCTGCCTGGCCTGCATGGAGGTCCAACAGACAGTGCAAAGAGGTTGTCTCGCTTGCATGTTTCTGCGGTGTAACAGCTTCTAGTGGAAGTCGGGGACAGGCTAATGCTTCTGGCCGCAGGTCTAGCATCACTGTGCATGTTGCGCGCATTCATTCATGCGAGATTGTTGCTGTCGCCTGTGATTGAACAGATCCCCTTGCTCTGTACTGTGCCAATTGTCGCCGTGTCCTCCCGATTTTCCAAAGTGCAACTTGTCGCGCGGAAGATTGAAGTGCTGGCAGAGGAGTTATTTTCCGGATACTTACTGGAGCGAGACTAGGGTCGACAAATAAGGGTTGGCGATCAGGAAGATCATGCCGACTTGACGCCCGATCATGATGAATCGACGTCCAACCATTGCCGACCAGCCACCCGCTCACTCAATCAGGGAATCCGAAGGGGGGTCAGATAGGTACATGGCATGGCAGAGAGGGCGGTTATTAGCATTGGATGTTATTAGTTGGGTATTGATTGAAACCAATTGGCCGGCTGCTGGCTGTGTGCGTGCGATACGCCTCCGTGACAATCCCTAAATAGCCGGGGCTACATGAGAACAGTGCTTGCTCACTCGGCGGTTCCCATATTTTTATTCTGTCGACAGGAGATCCCTGGGTTCATCAATATCTTTATAGCAACGCCGTGACAAGCGCATCGTGAAAAGGAAGAAGGCTCATTACGGTCAGTCACCGCACGTTTGACTCCTACCTTTACATCATTCAAGTCGACCAAGTTACCTTGTCCACTTCAGGGCTTAGCAGCTGAGACTCACCGCCAGAGTGTCGTACTGCCCAGTTTGCGGCTTCTCCTGTTACCTACATTACATCGTACATTACATTAAGTTAGCTCCCGTCCCAGGCCTCCCGTCGGTCGATCGCCGCCATTTTTGTCCGACTCAAGTTGCAACCATAACCTCTTCTAAACCAAAAGAGAGCAAACGAGGTGCGGAATAAGAACAAAAGAAGCGAAGCAACAACAACCCATTTCAAGTATGGCCATTGAGACGGTGACCATTATCAACAACTCGGGGAAGATTATAAGCAACGTAAGTCAACTACTCGTCATCCTGCAGTGCTATGTGCCTCCCTGTACCCCGCAACACCAACCGCCCTAAAGCACTATCGCAGCGTTTGTCGCGCTTAAAGGGCTTTTCAACACACCACCAGCCAGCATGTTTGCGGATGGGACAAGAAGAAGAGCCGATGTCTGAAAAATTACTGCAAGAGTATACTGCTAACATTATACCTTTCACTCCTGCAGGGTAAACATCTCTTTGGTCTTTTCAAAGAGGCCAAGGCATCGTATCAAGAGAAGAAGGCGGCCATCAAGGCCGAGCGTGCAATTAAGCGCAGCAACACCTACGACGTCGCAGCCGTTCCGCAGTACTACGATGAGGTCGAATACGTGAGACCTGCCCCAGGGCGCCGGGTGTCGCATGACGACGTTGAGTCTCACACATCTTCCCGACGGAGCCACCGCTCGAGGCACTCGAGACGTCCCGAGGAGCGCTCGCGGTCGAGGGGGAGGTCGGCCTTGACGGCTACCAATCTCGAGATCCTCTCCGAGGTCTCTTCTACAGCACCCTCGCGCGCTCCTGCAGCATACCAGTCTCCATATGCTGAGACCATCCCTTGGGAGGGGGCCATGAGCCGGCCGACGATGCAACACTACCCAATCGCGGCTCCGGACTATGGTCAAATGGTGCCAGCAATGCCTCACCAGTTGGTGCGCTCGCATACTGAACCTGTGGTCCCGACGACCAAAAAGAAGGAGAAGGAAATCGATATGAATTTGGCCTATGGCAACATTCCCCCAGACCTAGCATCTCGTGTGGATCTTGACCCAGCGTACAAGGCCGCAGCGAAGGAGCAGCATGCGCATACACTAATGGAGCGAGTTGAGGGTCTCCTCATTGAGGCGCACTGCATGCATCACACGGCAAACCACATGATCGAGCATCTCAAGACCAGGCCAGAGGCGGCTGCAGCCGTCGCATTGACTCTGGCGGAGCTTTCGACCTTGCTAGGAAAAATGTCGCCCTCGTTCCTGGGCGCCATCAAGGCCGGTAGTCCAGCCGTTTTTGCTCTCCTCGCCAGTCCGCAGTTCCTGATTGCCGCGGGTCTGACTGTAGGCGTCACAGTTGTCATGTTTGGCGGCTGGAAGATTGTGAAGCGGATCAAGGAGGCAAAGGAGGCCGAGGCGGCCATGGCTTTTGAGGCCCAGCAAGCGCCGCCTATGCATTACCCAGTTGGCGACCTGCCCATGGGCCGCGATCATGTTCTTCCGTATCCACCTACCGAGTACAGCGCCGAGTTCGACGAGGCACTGGTGCTTGAAGAAGAACTCAGCACCATTGAGACTTGGCGCCGTGGCATTGCACCATCCGGCGAGGATGACTATCAAAGCAGCGCCGATTTGGAGCTCATTACCCCCGACGCCATGCGCAGCCAGTACAACCTGGATGATGCCCAGTCCGTGCGGAGTGCGCGCACTACGAGAACCACCAAGACGCACAAGTCGTCCAAGAGCCACAAGTCGACAAGGAGCAGCAAGAGCCACCATGCGGATGACGTGAGCATCCCCGACAGGCAGAGCAGTCGCGACTTCAAGGACTCGCAGAGCGAAGCGGGTAGCGAGCGCAGTCATCGTAGCCACCGTTCTTCTGCATCGAAGCGGTCAGAGAGAACAGAAAAGTCGTCGCGGCGCGGAACCATGCTGCTTGAAGACGGTTCGAAAGACAGGGAGAACACTATCGACGTGGTTATTCGTGGCAAGAGCAAGGAGAGCATGTTGAAGAACATGTTCAAGAAGAAGAAGAAGGACGATGACGAGAAATCGAACCGACTGGAGAGCGTGCTGTCCTTCAGGACTGAGACGAGGGTGTAAGTAAGTAAGTGGTCATTGCATTCAACAGGCGTATATCGCGTAGAAATCGGGGTTCAAGGTTTGCATTTCCGGATTTGTTTGTTTTTGGGTGTTTGGACGAGATGATAGATTATGAGGCATGACATTGTGATTTCTGCCCTTCAATTGGGCTTCAATGTTTGAATAGTTTTTGGCTGGTTTGGGGCTTTGGGTTACTGGGGGTCTGATTGTTCTTCTCGGGGCGTGTTTGCAAGAAGATGGCGAAAAGAAATGAGGAAATGATAGCAATATCATTAGATGAGGTGGATTAATACACCTAGATAGCATTGATATAGGAAATTCGCCACGAGTTGCCATGAATCCAGTGAAGTGCCTGTCAGCCACTTGATCTACTTGAGTAGACCCGTAATGGGTGGTGTGAGACTGTTTGATTGAGATGTACAGAGCATATATGCCTCCGTGTCCATTGATCAGCAGGTCCTCGTATATTTTCATAATATAGTCGGATCTAATCGCACTATATTCGCGATTACGAAAACCACGTCTTAGCTTTCGCTCTGCAAGGACCTCCTGGCTTAGCACTCGAGGTTCGCATACGTACGCGTGACGAATTAAGCGCGCCGCCATGGGCTGATGACTGAGCAGCATTGCGCATTATACGCACTTGCCAACGGTATGATGTACCGTCGGAAGCAGCTAACTCTTCTGATCATCGCTCAAATAGTCTGAATTATTCCCAAGAACGAATTTGAGGCCAGAGTCCAGTCTTGCTTCTATTTGTTGTGTTATACTACCTAACATGGTGGCGGGCTGGTCCGAACGGCTTTTTGATTTTTGCTGGTGGGATCTGTTCTTCCCCCGCATATGCGTTTTGCCAGGAATCTCCCTGGCTAGCCACGCCATCTGAAGTTGAGAATGAGGCTGAACGGTGGTGCACACAACCTTTTCCCCAGACGCGATCCTTTGGGCGAAAGGATGGAGGGACGGACACTTCCGGCTGGGTTTGGGGGCGCTTGCTTGCCATGGATCCTGTGCTATTCTTTAAAATCCTTCAAGCCACCTCAGGTACGCGAGTGCATCCCGTCAGATTGTTATCTTGGGATGCTGACCAGCAGAAGCGCTGAATTATATCTGCAACAAATCAGAGCATTGTGTATTGTGCCCAGAATTGTAAAACCCCCCTACTCCTGCGTCGCGCTTCAACCATGATGTAGGACTTTCATGTCAGTGCCAGGTGCTTGCAGCGAGCTGAGGTGCATAGAATGCGTGGACTGTTCCATTCACTGGTGCCAAGGTGCGCCATTTGGACCTCGCTATATTTCTTCTTCTTTCTCACTCTCTTGAAAATGTGCATCTTTTTCCTAATTTAGAACACGACCACAGACGGCCGCAGCCAAAGTCCGCGGCCGAGTCATGCAGTAGGAAATGGAGTCTTTTCAGACACTGGTGGATCGTAGGAATCGTGTGCAAACTGACAGTCCCCATCCTCGTCCCAATCAATTCTTAGGGTCTCCATTGATTGGGATTCGCGAATTCATCTGAAGGTCGGGGACCAGTTACCGATGGTTCGACCATTCCATGTCTAGACTCGTGCTAGACTCCATCTAGAACCGCGGATCGCGGTCTAGCATCTACATTACTCAGCCGTGTAACGTGGTGAAGTTGCACACGACTAGCGGCACTGCCACAATGGAGGTGTGCTTTTTTCTTGTTCTTGCTATTTTACTACCTTGATCCAGGAACATACATTGGAGCTTTATACGCAATCAAGCAACGCATGATATACTCTGTACACGTAGGCAAGCATGTGGCAGTCAAGTGTTATTATCAATTGCATGGACACGAGGTGCTAGATCAAAAAGAAGAGGTCAAGGAAAACGAAGAACAAAAGAAAAATTTAGATGGGTGGGTTACTACCCCAGACCCACGAGAGCGATCGAGAAGTGATGTGATTGATGTGTGTGTGATCAGATCAGGACGGTACCTGAGAGTCCTTTTCCAATTGCCTGCCACTGCAAATGTTTCCGTCATGAAACACACAATGCATCCTCTCAACTCGCGTCGCTTGAAAAATGCTGCCTACCTGAGACTGTCGCGGTCTTGACCAACTCAAAAGGGACAAAATTGTTTCCATGCAAGCCCCTGGAAAGAACACGAAGGGGAAAAAAAGAAGGAAAATACGCGGCCGCTTGCTTATGTTTGGGTCTTGGCGGGCTACTCGCTGCTTTGATGGGAAGTTTTTTAGTATGGAATACACTATGCGTACCCCTGACAGCCAAGCCCTACCGCGGGAGCTACGGTCACCTACCCACGTAGCCCGCAAACTCCCATTCGGTCGCTTGGTGTCTTGGTCAGCGCCCCTGGCCTGTTCGTCTGTTTCAAAAGTCGCAACCTCGACGCCCTCGGCTTGTCGTGCACACTGCACAGGGAAAGAAGCCGCTGCCCTCTTGCTCAAAGATTATCCCAATGAGGTCTTTACTCGTGCAGAGGGATTGGAGGGAGGCAGCCTTCTGAGCAGCGTGCATGGTAGGTAGGTGCTTGGGCGTTGCGCTGGCGCTGGCTTCTGTCTTGAAAGCTTGGCCAGGGAAATGGCTGCCACATCACAGACCAAACACTGGCCATGGCCCAGGTGCCAACCAGGAACCCGAAGCATTTCCCAAGATTTCAGGCAGGCAAGAGGAGGAACCAGGAACTCGAACAGGGGGGTCACGGATCGGCAGTCGAACCATGGCCGCACAACTTTATGGGGGGTGGACTCCCTAGCAAAGCCAGCGAGCGTCCGCTGGGAAGCTGCGCAGTGGATTCCCTGGACCTGTTCGGAGTTAGTGCTGGGCAGTGGAAGTAAAAAAAGATATCATCCGCACTTCGCCGGGGATAGGCCCCGTTTGGCAGCTCTCTTGTCCTTCTTCTCTCCTTCATTCCTCTTGTTGATCCTTCCTCTCTTTGCGAGACTGGAAAGAAGCTATTGTCTTTTTAGCTATTTGCCCAGTTCTTCTCCGCAGCTTCTATTAATACCTACTTCTCACGCTCCTTACCCTCTCTTTTTCACTTTTTCCTTGCTCTGTACCTAGGCTATAAAAGCAACCCGTCTGGCGTTTCTCTTGGGTCGATCCCAAAAGAATACCAATTGGTGTTTCACTAGACCTTGAAGAACAGAACCTCAAGCTTTCGTGCTCGCGACTTACAGTCCAAGTTGCGACGAGACCCACAAAACCGAATAATTTTCGATCCATCGTTCACTCTCACCTCTAGTTGCAATGGGTGAAGACGGAGGCGGAGCCGGCACTGGCGGCGGCGGCGGCGGAGGAGGAGGAGGAGGTGGTGGTGGTGCTGGAGGTGGTGCTGCCAATGGTCATGCGGGCGGTGGTGGTGGCGCTCACGGAGCTGAGCCCGCCTCGGTCAACGGCGGCAATGTCCACGGCGGCGCTCACGGTGCAACCGGTACCAACCCACCTCCGATCAAGGTAGAACGACTACCTACTGCCACAGTCGAGGAGGAATATCCCATCTCCCCACGTGCCAACACACCAAATCCTTTTAGCAGAAGGAATACACATCTTGACCTGGATGACTACTTTGTAAGTGAGACACGGTTGCAACCGTTCAAATACAAGAATTGCTAACTTAAACGTCTATAGTCGGGACCCCGAGATCTGGCCAAGCATTCGAAATGGCCACTCTTCCTCCAGATGCACGGTTCCATCACCCCAAAGATGATTGTGCCCCTACTTTTCGTTGCCGCATGGTCAACATGGATCACTGCCGTCACCATGTTGTACGATAACATCGACCTCAGTGTAGGCAGTGTTCTCCTGACAATCACTGGTTTCGTCGTCAGCATGGGTCTCTCTTTCCGAAGTTCCACCGCCTACGAAAGATATGCCGAGGGTCGCCGGTACTGGGGTACATTGACACTCACTTGCCAGACGCTGGGACGTGTGTTTTGGGTTCATGTGAATGAGCGTCCTGACTTTCAAAAGCAGGATCTCCTGGGCAAGCTGTAAGTTCACTTTCGACCAGGTTGGGTGACATTCGGTTCTCGAAAATTCTTGGGCTAACTCAGACAAATCAGTACTGCTATGAACATGCTTGTTGCGTTTTCTGTGGCCCTGAAGCACAAACTGCGATTCGAACCTTACAGCAACTACCAAGGTCTCGGCGAGCTTATTGACCATCTCGAGACGTTTGCCAAGAGTGCCACGGAGGAACACCCCTATCAGGCAAAGAAGCCCAACATGTTCAAGGACTTTGGTGATCGACTTGGTGTCTCTTTTGCTGCTTCAAACCCTCGTAAGACGATCAAGAAGGCGACCAGTCCCACCGGTAACCTTCCACTCGAGATCCTGTGCTATCTTAGTGCGTACGCAGACGAAGTGGTTGCCAATGGCCAACTGCCGATTCCCATGACCCAGACCAATCTTTGTAAGTTCCCTCGTAGAGCTTCTACAATCGTGCCAAGAACTTGAGCTAATGGCCATATAGACAACGGTATCGCAACTCTCAACGACGTTCTCACTGGAACCGAGCGTGTCCTAAACACCCCACTGCCCATCGCCTATACCATTGCCTTCTCTCAGATCACTTGGGCTTACATCCTCGTTCTGCCCTTCCAACTTGTCGGCACACTGGAGTGGATTACTATTCCGGCCAGCATCGTCGCTGCGTACATCATTCTCGGAATTCTCTTCATCGGTCGTGAGATTGAGAACCCCTTTGGCTCCGACGTCAACGATCTGCCTCTCGAGTTGTACTGCAAGCAGGTCATGGATGATCTCGAGACCATTGCCGCCAAGCCCAAGCCTCGCATGGCTCAATACGTCGAGTCTTCACGCAACAAGGTCCTGTTCCCGTACAGTGACTCGAGCTATCACGCCTGGGCACAACGTCCCGAGTCCGTGATCCGCGCTGCCCTGCGGAACCGACCATACAACAACTTTGAACGATCTACAGCGACTGCCAATGGCAAACCATCAACTTCTTGCAAATCAGAAGATAGCCGCGAGATCGTATAAACATGGCCTAGCCTGTCGCCCATGGGGCTTCGAAGTTGGGGCCTCATTCTCAATCCTGCATGTACGGCATCTCAGATTGTCTTGATTTCTCAACTCATTGTTCGGTCCGGAAAAAAAAAATTGGAATAGCACGAAAGCATTAGCGGAGTTTTTACCTGGTACATCTGTTTCTTCTTCTTAGATAATCATCGGAACACAAGCCGTTTTACCGATATACATATATAGCCTGGGTCGATATCTCCTTCTAGGTTGATCCTTCTTTTCACGACTCTCTTGCACGACCCAATATACCACGTCATCGCAAGCATTGCCTCTTATTCGTATATGTGCTGTTCATTCCATGTGAAAAGTGTTACGTCGTCCTGCTGCCAATAGAACCTAGTAAGCGATCGTTATTCTGGGTAAGAGTCTTTCGCGGAAACTAGGATCTGCATGCCCGTCCGACGGCATCGACTCTCCAGCTTACCATGACAAGACAATTGGTGTATTATTCTGCACATTGATGTTTGAGTCGACGAGGCGAACGCCAAGAGGCAGCTGCGGCTGAATTGATGCAACGGTAGCCAGCCATTCAAACTCGTGGCCGACTGATGTTGCCGTTGAGCACAAACTTTGATCGACACCCTCTACATCTTGGACTTGCTCCTTTGGCCATGCCGCCGAATAGACCAGGAGTTTCGCATATACATCTGGGCATCTTGCGACCAGTCAGTCCGTGGCGGACCGGCAGATGTGACCTCTTGATCAACTCCCCACCCGCAATACTGACCAAAACGGTTATAGTCTCCGCACAGAGCCAATCACTCCGTTGGCTCGCGTAGATGGAACGGGTCCTCCAACTTTACCGCCCCTTCCCTTCACCTGCCTATATTGATCGCATACCACTATCACTAATTCAACAGGTCCCTGTCCCAAAGCGGCAATGGTTCAAGGCCAAGCTTTTTCGCTACTTCGGTCGGCTCGGAGACTTGTAGAGCCTCGAGAGTCGACTGCATCGCTTTGAACCATTCATCATCTTGGATACTACCGTTGGCCATGGATCTTGAAACAGTGGTACTAGGCAATTGGGATCCATTTTTCAACTCTATTTTGCATCTCAAGTGCGGGGTTATTAATTGAACGTGTCAACTTTTGTGAGTCGGGTTGCAAAGCAATTACCATGACCCGTACATGGAATGCCAAGAAGCAAGCACGATGACAATATGGAATAACAGCAATCATCTACCTAGAGCCAAGACAATCTATACTGTTCATCTCGGATCTTCGGAAATAATTGCGAACATCCATCGGTTCGGAGTCTAGAACCATGTGGCGGTGATGTCAAGCCCGACAAAAGAGCATTCTATAAAGAGTATGATTAATTAATGTTTCATTTGCAAAGTCTTGGCACGAGGTTACAGTGACAATATAACTCTTTGCCTAGGCGAAACTCTAGCGCCAAGACAAGATTGAGTAGCAGTTGGATGGTTGGCAGCCTGTGGGCGTTTGTCCGCCCGCCCCTGGAAGGGAACATGTCTCTGCATGGGGAGGGAGGGCAGGGCAGGGATAGAGTACCCGTGGGACCTGCCAAGAACGGGATACGGGCTATAGGAGATCGCCCATCCGCTCCGCTCATATGGGGAAAATAGAGAAGAAGAACAGAGGATGAGATGAAAAAAACAAGTAGAGTGTGCTCCATCATGTGATTATACGCCATACTGACCGCATTTGAACTTGCAAGTCCCGAGGAGGGCTTCGTCCCATCTATAAGAAGAATATCCACCCAGTATCCGTTTTCTCCTCCTCTTCTTGAAATCAGGAGTTCTGCAGTGCATTCGTTTCTCACCACCTTCATTGAACAAGGAAAAATCAGCATTCTTTATCGTCAGGAAAAACAGAGAAAACAAAAGTCAAAATGAAGTTTTACTTGGTCTTGATGGCACTCGCTGCCCTTGGCAATGCCCTGCCCGCTGTCGAGGGTGAGGTCCAAGGCCTCAAGCCCTCTGGTCCGGCTCCCTTCCCCTCTGGCGAGCCTCACCACCACCACCCTCACCCAAAGCCGTCTGGTCCTCCCCACGAGGTGAGTCTTATCTCATCATTTGGCCATGCGTCCATGCAATGCACATGGCTGGCTCTGGGTAACATAATGCTAACGTGATGTTTGATAGCCCCACGGACCCAAGCGTGAGTAACCATTGGTAGATGAGTCTAGTATTGAGCAGTTATATTGACAACTTTCAAGCCACTGGAAAGGGCGGTCCTAAGCGTAAGTACCTCGTCACCAATCATGCCATGATATGTAACTGACTGTGACATTAGCCACCGGCAAGCCTGGCCCCAAGCGTGAGTGAAAATCAAGAAAATGACATATATCTGAAGACATGAGAGATTGACATTATCCCCTTTCAGCAACTGGCAAGGGTGGCGCCAAGCGTAAGTTTGATACTCTAACCCCATCTTTTTCTTTTCTCTTTTCGCCCCAATGCCAAATTCTAAATGATGTTTTCTTCTTTTAGCCACCTCCCACCCTGAGCCCATCCTGGGTCTCGGCAACGGCAAGTTCCACCCTGGAAAGCCTTCTGGCAAGCCCTCTGGCAAGCCTCACCACGGACACCACCCCAAGCGTAAGTCTCCCAAGTTCATTTGTACAGTACTTTTTTGGCATCAGACTGACCATGCCGAAAACGCAGCCACGGGAAAGCCTCCTGTAAGTCTTTGATACATCAACGATCGAGTTGGAGAGAGAGAAGAACAAGAAGAAAGGGAAAAGCAGAAAGGAGACATGGAGGGGGAAGGGCGGAAAGAAGAAAGGATGACAAGTGGCTAGACCTGAGCGGGACGCTAATACTAACACTCGAGTAGGGACCTAAGCCAACAGGCAAGCCTTTCTAAGAGGCATGTATTGGGGTTGACAGACTTGGACAACAGGTCAAGGAAGGCGATTCATTTCTAATAGCTACAAGCCTCGAGCGGTACCATCAGGGAGTTCATTGCAGGCAGAGAAAGCACTTGATCGGGGAGACTGTAGCTATGCACTATGTATATATTGATTCTGACGAAATTGTTCAACGAGAACTGGACGAACCAAACTGCTTCTATCCAGTTGAGTACCATGTATGCTTCAAACACCAATGCGCCGTGGCCCATGCCTCTTTAAGCCTATACTGAGAAACCCATAGACGCAAAGCCCCAAGTCACAAACACAAAAGACGCAAGAGTTAGAACCTCCAACAGGGATTTAAATCAAAAGAAGAGTGCAAATTGCCAAGTAGCGTCCTCTCCACGAGCATATGTCGGATCACCTCAGACATCATACGAGGTTCTCCTGTAGTCTCTCTCTAAGGAGTTTCGAGGAACTCCTCCTTCTAGTTTCGAGGACCTCCAGGAGCTTGTGTACGCTTTTCTCTCTTCATATATTTCCTAAATTTCCAAGTAATTAGAATTTATTTCTTATTCCAGTCTTGCACCTGGTAAACTTTCATAGCATACGAAAGAATACCACAAAACAATACCACGAAAGAAATAATACAAGAAGCCTTTAAGAAATAGATTGCGAGAACTAGAGGGAAATAAACTACTCACAATTTTTGAAACTACAAAAGGGCGTCAGGCCCAGATCCAGTATCGATCGCTATTGAGGGCCTTCCAATCGGTTTTCTCTCTCTTGGGGAGGCTCTCGGATACGGTGATGGTTGTTGTCTGTGGCAAAAGGGAGAGCTGGGATTGTAGGCAGCGCATGGCTCTGCGGACTAGGGATGGAGACGGACGGCAGTTGAGCCTGAGATGGGTGTGCTAGTAGCTTCTTTGAATTTCTGCTAGTCGTCGAAAATTATGTTGGGTGGATGTATGCGTGGCGATTCCCGCTGGATCGAGTGTGCATGCTCAAGAAACGGGTAATGGACATGAATGAAGTCTGTGTTGGCACATATGCAGTCAGCTCTGTTGAATGGTGATATTGGAGCATTAAACCAACATTGAGCTATAAAAGAAGCTCAAATTTGAGACAAGGGAGAAAAAAGATGGGTGAAGGACATCTATGATGGCGTTTTTAGGGATATAAATATGGAACGAAAAGTTTTTAATTGACTTAAAACTGAATATATAAACATTTGGGACATTGGAAATCGAGGTTCTTGAAGCTTTCGTGAATGGACGCAAGTGATCAGGTTGGATTGAGGATGTGTTATCAAGGAGGTTCTGGGATGGATTCCAGAAGGGACAAGTCCGGAGGGGGAGCCCGGCTATCTATGCTAGAAATCCCCCTACTGAAAGGGAAAGAATGAAGATACTTTTCTACCTTGCGTCCCTTTCCTGAACTAAAGGTGTAAGTATCAAGATGGAAAGTACACCTTAAACCTGATGATCGGCCCGGACAATCATAAACAAAAAGTCTATATAAGGCAGTCGTGTCCTCGTCCGGAATGAAAGTCTAGCCACTAGGGTACCCGGGTGTCTCACTTTTACCGTGTTGTTGGGGCAGGTAGTCCCACCTAGAGAGACAGCCCTCATACTCAGCGCCGGATACGTTACAAAATAGTTACTAAAATTTCTATTATTGGCGTTATGTACGGTAGCAGTTGACATGAACGACATGAATTGATATGAATTGATGACATGAACGGCAACTCGCTGGAACCAATGACTGACAGTCAATGGGCAAGGGTAACATCTAGCGGTTGCGTGGTGAGAGGCGTGAGTATCCTGCAATCGGTTGTGGCCCGTTGCCCCCGCTATTCTTGAGGCCTCTACGTTCTCGTCTACGTTCTCGACTTTGAGAACGGTGGCGAAGAAACATCCAGGCCAGTCACTAGAGCAAGTTCCCGTAGTAAGAGGGCCTCCAGGGAAGCATAAGAGGGATTTATGGTGCTGACATTGGAGCACCTTGAAGAATTTCTTGTCAAGGCAAGTCGGCGATCTGAAGGCTGAAGTTGAGATTTGGGTCATGATTTCCATGTATGCACCGTAAAAAAAAAAAAAAAAAAAAAAAATAACGAAATCAAGTTTTTGACTCATGTGTTTGTTTAAAAAGTTCATGCTCTAGTCCTTAGCGTATGAATCTATTCGTCCTTGGTATACTTTGTCCACTGCCGCCAGCGGTGACCATATCTGAAGATTGCAATTGGTATGGGCGCAAGACTCAGCATCATGGCGCCCAGAACGGTGAATCCCCATCCGTAGCCAAACGAGTCAATCAATGGCTTTGCGAGGAGAGGCAGGAAGGTACTCATGAGACAGCGCGTCACGATCATGGCTGTAAGCGCCGAAGCAGAGTACAGCCCAAAGGCATCGACGACGTACGTCATTAGGGGCATGAAGGAAAACTGCAGGGTGGCGCCAAACAGGGTGATGGCCAGGTACAGATACGGTACCTGCAGTGACAGCGCAGGAACCCACCCGTAAAAGGCGATAGCGAGGGGAAATAGGAAACCCCCCAAGATGACGAAGGGCAGCCGGAACTCGGGCCTATCCACGCCATCATTGGCGTCGCGAAGCTTGACAAAAACCTTGTCGAGAGCACGGTTCAAGACGAGAGCAATGGTTATTGAGCCAGCACCTAAAACATCAAGCTGTCAGTCATGTGGCTGCCTTGGGAGAAAAGGAAAATGAAGGAACTGGCTCTTGGGCAGTCAGAAAAAAGTACTCACTGAAAAAGATGAAAGCTGCTCCGGATGTCGCTGGGTCGAGGTGAAATTCTCCTTCGACAATATCCGGCAGGGTTGTCGAGATGATGTAGAAAAACGTGAAAGTGACAGAGCCACAAAGAGCCGCGAGCTGCAGGACGAGAGACTGGGAAAGCACCAGCAGGGGTCTCATGATAGCCTCGCGCAGCTTTGCAATACTATGCGCACCCTCGTCGTACACACTCCTCAATTTGTCATTTCCAGTCTCCTGTCTTAGCCTGGCAGCTTTACGGTTCAATATGGGCACCTTGTACGTCTCGCGGAAGCAGGTAAGGAATCCAATCTCTGCAATACCCGCCAGTATGATACTCATCCAGCACACAGCCCGCCATCCAAGGGTTTCGGAAACAGCAACACTGATTAGAGGCCCGACAGCGCCTCCGGTCAGTGGAGCTAGCGAGATCAGACTCATCGCAGAGCCCCTACGCTCAGTGACGAATATGTCACCCACAATGGCAGGATTCAGCACATTGGTGGCCACCACGACACCAGTCAGTGCTCTAGCCGCAATGAACATGGTGCTGTTCTCAGAAAGGACTGCCAAGAGAGTCGTCAAGATGAAGCCTACATTGCACTGTAACATGTGTGAGCAATTGATGTTCGTTCCAAGCGACCATGTCCCATTGAAAGGATTTTTCTTCTTGTGCGCAATGCTGACGCATTCATTGCTACATCAAACCGGAATCATCTCCTCCTATACCATTCGAAATCTCCAAGGGATCCTGGGAATTTGCTTACAGCATTCATGACTGGGTAGCGGCCATACATTTCCGACAGTGGCGCGATTAAGAGCGGTCCGGCGGCCTCGCCTAGCTCCCAGATTGTGACCAGGAGAACGCTGGCCGACTTGCTGGTTCGCCCGTCATCCAGATCCGCTACAATGCGATTTGCGACAGGTACGACAGAGATGCAGGTAAAGGTACTAAAAATGGCGTCCAATTAGCATTATCATATGGAAAATGGCATTATCAGATGGAAACTTTAGGCATGCCCATGCCAACACTATATCAAAGTTTTCGACAGAAAAGAGTGTCCCAAAAAAGAGACGCAGCAAGCAAACGTACACAGTAAAGGCCATAAAGGCCATCAATCCGACAATGCACCATTTGTAAGCCTCTGGCCAATCTAAAGGATTTTCCTCGTCACCCTGGGGGTCAAAGGTGACGAGATTCTTGTCGGAGGTCTGATCATGGTGAGCGTCCAGGGTTGTGGGCGGGACCGCCTCAGCGGGGAGTAGCGGCTGCGTTTCGTCCATGGTATTGGCCCGTGTGGCGTTGTCCGCTTTTAAATCCGATTCAATCCTCTCGGCTTCGAAACCAGCTTCTGACAACTTTGCCTATATCAGAAAAGCAAGAGAGGAGAGAGGATGCGGCGCATTCTCGATTTGTGATTTTGAGACGACCCGCGTTGCTTGCATAAGCCGGCTTCGGCTGTAAAGTGGATCAGTTGGCGCCTGGCAAAAATGGTGCTGCGAGATACGGGTAACCCTTGTAAAGACGCCATTTTCGCGCCCTTTGGTTGTCTTTCGGTGACAAGCGCCCCTGGACTCTCTTGCTGACGGAGAATTTGGATGGGGGGAAAAAAAAAAGCCATGGTTGTTCCAAATGCGATATTTGTATTACGTGCGTAGTACCTTGGACATCTACGTATATGACACGGCATATTGTGGTGTCATGGATCGTGTAACTTGTAGTATGTGACATGTAATAGGCAGTATATTACGCAAGATAGGTAGCGATTGTGGGCACTAAGTCGCTATCGCAGGCAATTGGCACTAACCATTTCAACCCAGGGACGGACTCGTAGACCGCAACTCGAAAGATAAAATGTATTGATGGAATCAATCTCTATGTCGTCAATTGAGCCCTTTTTTCGAACTGACTTCTCAACGTCATAGTTATTGCAAGTGATCAGACGGCTGCGATTGGCCTGCTGAGAAAATCTAATCCGATGTAGGAATGACATGCCGCTCGCGTATCGTTGGCTGTAATTTCGAACGCCGAGTTCTGCTGTGTCATGCTATGTGCCGCGTATGATTGCACCAATCTTGACCGTATGTAGACGTGGTACTTCCAGCGCGCTGCAGAGATGCACAATTACGTGGTTGCCGCCTTGCATGTATTTAATGATTCATGTTGCGCTCTGCTCGAAATGGTGGGTATTAATCGTCATGCTAGCTCAAAATTTGTATCTATCCATTTATCTATATTTAAAAGTTTTATCTATATTTACAAGTACTAAGCCTTTATCTCAGGCGATGCATTGTTCATGTCATCGTCGGTCGAGCTTGGATGGGCAGTCGATGATTTCTCTGTCTGCTCTGGCTCTTTCGTTGCAGGATGTCCACTGGACTCGACATCTTGGGTAGGCTGCGACGGGGTCTTCTCAGTGACCGACTTGTTTCTGAGATCCCATCCTCCACCCCAGCCAATCCAGCCCGTCTCGTGGGGTCCGCGCAGCAATACTAAAAGCAGGGCCGCACCCATCAAGCCAATGCTCAAGGCACCACTACGTATCCAACCTCCATCGGCGTACAGATTATTGCCGACGGCAGTTCCAAAGAGTTGGCCGCAAAAAGTCATTACCATGTAGACCGAGTTTACGGCGTTTTGCGCCGTGGGGTCGACATTGGCGAAGGCCATTCGGTTCGCCACGACAATGGTGTTCATGCCCAGGTCGCCCAGGAAAGCCCAGATCACCGGGCCGGCGAGCGAAAAGGTCCCGACAAAGGTGCCGATCAACACTGCGGTAAGAGTGACGAGAATAGCAATGATCTGAGTTCCGCTCGGATGGATGCGCGAGGTCAAGAGTTTGGACACGACGGGATTGAGGCACACGGGCGAGATGCCGACAAGGGCGAAAAGGCCAATGGCCAAGGTCGACAAGTTGAACGGGTCTCCCGCCAACTGAAAGGTCAACGTGGTCCAGAACGAGGTGAACATGCCCATGGTGCAAAAGGCAATGAAGCCACACTGCGTCAAGACGGGATGCTTGAACGGCATCTTGATAATAGTGAGCAGGGCCTGGGGGTACGAGCCGCCGGGTCGGAGCACCGGGTAGTCGGGCATGTACAGGAAGAGGAGGACGTAGATGGCGATCTGCAGGCCAAACGACATCCAATAGACGCTCCGCCACGAGCTGTACTGCGTAATGATACCGGCGAGCAGACGCGCAATCAGGATGCCAAAGAACAGACCCGACATGACGATGGAAATCATGGTCGCCCGGTGCCTTTGGGGCGCATATTGGACGACCAACGGGAACATGAGCTGTGGCGTTACCGTCAATACGCCAACGATGAAGGACAAGCCCAGGAAAACGGAGAATGATCGCGTTAGAGTCAATCCCAACCACTGTTTCACACGTTAGTAATGATCAAATAGCAAACATAGCTACGGGGGTTTTCCCAGGGGTGGAATTTGACTTACGATAAAAGTTGTGCAAAAGATGAGGCCAAGAATAAGAGGCCGTCGACGGACGATATCACCAATGGGAATAACAAACAGCAGACCTCCAGCGTAGCCGGCCTGCATTATGGTCGGCACCAGCGACGCGCGCTCGTCGCTGACCTGAAAGTCATCTGCCAAGACATTGAGAATAGGATGACTGTAGTAGAGATTGGCCACACTAAAAGCAGCAGCCTAAAGGGAAATGGGTACGTTAGCGATGGTTTGTCCTTCCCCATGAACGTGATGTCTATTGTAGTTGCGAGATGAGATGCATAGGTAGGTATCGAGGCTTGGCAAGGGACTTACACAGCCAAAAATAAGGTTGCGCGTCCATGTCAGATCGTGGTTCGCCGTCTCGTCCCACCTCAACCACGGTGGCGTCCAGTCGAGACTGCGGCCGAGCCTCGAGCCGTCCCGGCGCCGAGGTTGCGGGGCCTCGGTTTGACTTTGGGAAGACATTTTTTTTAGAGTTTCTTGTCAGCCTCAATTATCAGGAACAATTGCAGACTGCCAAGATTCTAAGGGGTCTGCGCCAATTATGTATACATGATTCCCAAAGTTGCGAATTGATACATGTATATATTGATGGGAAGAGGGACCGGCAAAAAAAAAAAAAAAACCCCCATGACGGTATCTAATTTCATTTTTTCTAACGCCGCGACATTCCCGCCGTCTTATCGCCGATCAGGGGGGCGGCCTATCTTCAGTGGAGTTGCATCATCGATTTGGGGATGAAATTTGCTTGCAGTGCTTGCTTGTGCTAAAGTCCGATGCTAGACCCTGAAACCGTTTTTAGCGGCCGCTTGGACCTGATTCTTATGGAGTTTTCGGAGTTTCTACAGGGTCAAATTTCAACCAGTGAATTGATGCTTGGACTTGACATAAAATCTTGGAAACATCACTCATGTCTAGCCATTTAACCTGCACTTTCTTTAATCCATTGACTAGCTCTTCAATTCGGCTGTTTTCCTTCAAGTCTCCACAGGTGTGGACATACTGAGCGTAACGCGATGGGTCCTGGCTCATTCCTATAGCTTTGTGCATATATCTGCCCCGAATCTTGCCCAGATCCCTTGAGTTGTGTGTTGTGGGCTATAACACGCCAGGGCGATAGAACACGAGAACTCATGATGCTGACCAAATAAAAGCAGAACACAAAGAAGAGGAGCTGCAGTGTGCAGCGCCCAGATTTACATCGTATTGTCACTGACTTGATCATTCTATTCCGTGTCAACGGACAGTCCAATTTCTTTATTTCCACTCACTTTCCCAGCCAAACTAGCAGATATGTAGTGCTTGGGGCACAGGCTGAGTATCAGCATTTATAACATTCGAATTCGTCTCTCGTAGGTGGTAATGTCACTAAATCAGAAGCATGGTAGTTCAGGAGAGAGAAAAGAAAAGGCCCGTCGGCTAGAACAGACTAACCAAAAGAACCCTCTCTGAAAACCCCGATGGCCCGCTCATATATCGTCGGACCAACCCAAGAAATGTTGAAAACCTGCTTTGATGGTGGCTTTGGTGATAGCTGCTCCAAAACTGCCAAAATTACGAGAGCTTGTTTAGCAAGTCTGGTATAGGACAAGGAGTAGAAGGGTACGAACCTGTTACAGTAGCTGTAGTTGGACAACTCGTCGAACATGGCAGTCACCAGCACTGGGTCAATGCGACAGATGCTATCGAGTTTACAGACCAGAGCCCAGACCTGAACTGGCGTCAACTCATCGACCAGCTGCAGCCGCGTACTAGCTTGCAGTAAATTGTCTAGATCATGAGCTGCGATACGAGCACCTCCCGGCGAGGAAGGGGAGGTATACTCGTTGATGAGGCGCGTCGATAAATTATAAGCGTGGTTCGTCCCAAAGTTGTATGGTGCCTCTAGGTATCCCTCCCTTTGTGGTTCCATGACCATGGCATTCCGTAGGTGAGGGAGACAAGGCGTTTCCAGTCTATAACAGCCCCAGTCAGAACACAGACATCATTGTCGAGGAAATTTGAGTGCCTGGAATAAATTTTCCTTACCGAAGAATGCATTGTACTCCCATCTCAAGGCTAAGCAAGGTTTCATTGACTTCCACATCCTTCATCGCCGATAAGCTCTCACTTGCGACAGCCGACCCAGGAGAGAAAGCATCTGCCCATGACGGAGGCGGGGGAGGTTGGGTATCCTGTATGACACGATCATTGGTATTTGTCCGTGCCAGCTCCGGGGGAGCGTTTTCGGCGGCTTTGATGCAGCAAGCCGGCTCGGGTGATATCCGATACAGCTCATCCCATTGCACCACAATTGGCTCTGGGCTGGTTGTGGGGGGACTTGGTGTAGTCCTTGGTGAGTCTGATACTGGGGTTTTTGATTTGCTCTCTCGGAGCTGGGCTCGTGCTTTCTCTAATTCATCCTTGAGAGATAGTTCAACACCTCGAAGGCGAATAACCTCCTCCTCTAGAGCTTGAATGTAGCTCTGTGTCCGTTGGCGATGTTTGCTGCCGGGTGTGCGGGGTCAGCCCAGTAAAGAGCTCCAACGCGCCCAAACCAGCGGGAGCAGATGCATTAAAATGCCACTTACCGCTGAGCTTGTGCAATTTGTTCATTCCGGCTTTTCTTTGTTGGCTGAGGGTCAGATTCTGATCCATATCAATGCCCAGGCCTAATAGTTGGAGCGATTCCAATTTAGCCTACTCAGTTGTGTCGACAACCAGGTGTCCAAGTCTACACCTAGGAGGCGACTCGCTCGTTCCGATAGCGTCTCGCCAGACGCCGCAGTAGGCATTGCGAAGAGGGGAGGTAAACCTAGATAAATGTAGGCATAAACTCTACCCGTTTCTATATCAAGATTTCCGTTGTAATGCAGCAGTACTAGAAATGGCAGGGTTTGGCAAAGAGTCACAAGCGGCAATTCGAAAGACATGTCAAGAACTTGGTGTAGGTCGTTCGTCTGCATCGTAGCAAAATACCAATTGTGATAGGGCTGACCTGTAGCTCCCGAGCTGCTTGGCGCTACGACAGGCTGAGATGCCCCGCAACTCCAGGTCGCTGGTACTGTAAATTATAGCAGATATCTACCATCAAGCCACTTTCAGACCCAAGATAGACAACATGTAAAAACTCTCTTGAGATGCGCCAAGTCATTCGCCTTTTGGGCAAAGGCAATAGATCGGCAAATGTGGGAGCATGTTCATGTGCTGACAGAAGCCACATTCTTCACCAGGTCAACGAAATTAGACTCAAATAATCAAATGAAAATAATCACCGCATATGGATAACCACCGAAATGCTTGGGCAATAGAGGCAGATGTCTAAGCTTAGTATTTGTCAAGCTTCCAAAACATTTGGACAGCTCAACTAATTTGCGGGGAGCAGTGAGCCAAGACACGTGGGCGAAACCTAGATCCTAAATGCTGCTTGGGAAAAGTCAATATACCATCTAGAATCGCACACAGCCGCAGGATGGCGCCGCTAGCTTGAGAGTGGGTTTTCGCCCCCCAGAAAACACGTTCGAGGCGTCCTGCCAGACGTGACGAAACAGAGATGACTATGCTTCTTGCTACGCAATTGAGGAGATGCCAACACACGCGCTCAAATGGGGCCAACCGTTGAAATTCCAACACTCTCGCAAGGCCTTTTTAGACCAAGGATCATCAATTCGACGGCCAGCGTCCTGCTTTGAAGACGGCGATGCCCTGGCGCAAGGCGGCAGACGCCGCGGTAACTATCGCCAGTCTAGTTTCAGTATTAGCAAGACATGGCCGACCTATGGCGAGGCCTTTTGTTGGTAAACCTGTTGTATTGCAATGGTTGAGTGCTACAAGTAAATTTGACCATCACGGACGATTGCAACCTTGAACTGTTTGCGTATTCCATTGGATCCTGTGCTCCAGCTCGTCGCGCTTGTGAAGCCTAGATAAACACCTAAAATCACATGAAATGCCCATGCTACCCTCATCTACCACAGCTATGAGGAGGTTACCACGAGGGTTGCGCTAATGAATAGAAGTTTACAGCCGAAGGCTTATGACTTATGTGTAAAAACGCCAAGACGCCAACTGGGAATGGAAAATAACATATGAATGCTGAAAGATCCTGTGGGAAACCGGGCTTGTCTCATCCCCTTTTATTCATCATAGCATTTTACAACTAATACTGATGCAAAGACCATGATGCCGACTAACAAGAATCCGTGGGCTCCTACGTCGTATAAGCCATTGCGACGAGCATCGGACAGCACATTGAGACGAGAATCAGACAGCACATTGATTGAGGAGATCGACGAATTCACAGAATATCTAGCCAAACCCCTGTCCCCTACCCCTGCCCCATCCAAGGGAATCCATTGGCGAGCTCCCACACTGATGGTAGTATGCTTTCTATCCGGCACAAGTTTTGCTCTTATTCACCACTTCTACTACTCCTATCTGACAGGACAGCAAGTCCCGCCACCAAACATACAGGAGTGGCCAATCAGATTGGGTAGCGGATTGGCGTTCTTGACCAAGAGCACTTTCACCGCAGCAGTCGGGACTGCGTACACCCAACATATTTATACAGTCTTTAGAAAACGATCTCTGAGTGTTCGAGGTATAGATTCAGCCTTTGCCGCCGCTAACAGTATCATCAAACTGGTGAGCTGGGAGCTGTTTAGCAAAGTCAAGGCAGGATTCTTGCTTGGGCTTATTGCATGGTATGTGGCAGTTCCCTTGACAAGTTTGAACAATCGGTTGACTGAAGACGTCATGCAATGAAGGTCAATTCCTCTGGCCATGACCATTCCCCCGGCCACGCTTTCGGTTGTTCCCAAAAGCGAAACTCGTCTTTATGACATTAACGCACCAACCCTGAATCTCTCTGGATACCATTTGGCCGCGACATCCTTGGATCCCAACAAGAATGGCGAGGTCTCACCAGCCACTCAACGGCTGTTCACCGCAACTTATTCAGGTGCTGCGGTGCTCTCAATGCCGGCTCTTGTCAACAGCACCCCCAATGCAGCCTACAACTCAAAGTTTCTGGGGCCTCTTATCACTTGCGGGAGTCTGAACAGCAGTGAGTCTGGCATCATGGGAAAAATTGTTCACCATACATCCAATTGGTATCAGTCACTGATAAATTCATCCAACGCCGGTAACGTCAAATATCTTCTCTTCAGACCCCACGAACATTTCATGGACGGTGCTGGAAATCCCAATGAGACGTTTGACTATGGCACTTTTATCAGTGGCATTGTAAGCACCACGCCCAGTGAAGCCAGTGACGCGGCAGGACCTCAAGTCGACAGATTCTGGGTCTACTCTGACCATGGGAGTTGGGCATGCCGCACTTGGAATGCCACATTCCGCGGTACATTTACAACCCACATGCAAAAACAAGAGATCACAGTCCACAAATCCAACACGACCTTGGCACCGCTGGGAGATTACAGCCAGAACTGGTCTGATTCTCACTCAAGAACCGCCTACGAGATGATTATCCACCTGATCTTTAGTCTCCTGGAAGGCGCCATTGTCCACGATCTTCGACCCGACCCTAACCCCAAAGTCAATGCAGTTCCCACTGTCTTCAAAACGGATATTTTAAAGACGGGCATGATTGGTGCTTTGAATTTGACCACGCCGCAGGTCACGGGGACGTTAAAGATGGGAAGACAAGCTCCGGGCAAACCCATCGTAACTGAGGAGGACCAAGCTCTTTCTCAGGGAATGAGCCTAGGCGACTTGATTGAGCAATTGTCAAGGAACATCACCTTGAGCTTCTTTAGTGACAAACAATTCTGGTGAGTCGCCGACCAATGAGACAATACACCCATGATTCGCCCGCTAACCACCTTGACTACGCGATCTAGGTCCTTGGAAGGCCAGGGATACAACACGACTGTCATCGCTCCCTTTAGGCACAACGTGTATTGGTACAACCCGAGAAATCTACTCATCGCCTATGGCTTCGCCTTTGGCTTCACCCTGTTTAGCGTAGCCATTGGTGCTCGCGCATTCTTTATCAATGGTGTTAGTCACAGCACCAATTTCTCGGCTGTGCTGCAGAACACGAGGAACCCAACGCTCGACGAGCTCGCTCGTGGGAACGGCATGGGATGTAAGCCACTGGACAAGACGTTGAAAACGACAAAGTTGCGCTTTGGGATCCTTGCGACGTCGATGGAACGGGGCAAGATGGGTGTTGATGGCCCTGTGCAAATAGGATTCGGTAAGCCGGATGAGATCATCCCTCTGGACAGGAAGAAACGCAGATAGTCTGTGCGAACTGTTTTGGGAACCCCTGGGTTATAAGTCTGCTTCTGAGGAGGGATGGAGCTTGTGATTATCGTGTGGATTGTGTACCCAGTGTGCACTCGTCTATGTCCAAGCAGCCCGCCAGGCTGAACGTCATCATCACGCGACTTTGACTTGAGAGATCGGGACAATCAGAAATAAAGCGCAACAAGCAGTCTTCCAAATGTACATGTCCTTGCTCTAGTATCTGAACGAGGCTCGTTGAAAGTATTGCGACGTTTAACAAAGTAGATACATACCGGTCGAGGTCCGTTGGTTAGTGTTGGCAGGCGCGAACCTAGTGCTGAAGACGGGCAAAAGCAACAACGACGCCAGCTGCAGCTAAACCTTTTCTCTTGAGCATCAACATCAACACACACCTTGTTGTTCTAGGAATTGTTGCAAGATCGGCATCCAGTAAGTGTTTGTTAGTAGTAGTGCACCTAGTGTCTCGGAAGTTCGGAGATCTTGGATGACCGAACCGCCCAAATGACGGATCGAACAGCCGAACGGCCGAACAACCGAGCGGCCTTTCGAATGACCGAATAGCCGAAGCATGCAACCAAAAACTTACATCCAAAGGCCGCTGCCAATGTGTCGAGGACGACATCCACCGTCCTCCGGATCCTCATAGCAGCCACAATAGCGAGAGCTATCGGACCCCAACTGTGGTTGTGAGATGGCCGATGCGACTGTCCTTGGAGGGTCCGAGACTCCACAGCCTCCACCACGTGCTGGTGGTGCGAGGCGCTACAACGTCGAGCGCTCATGCATCCGATGCCATCAGAAGAAAATCCGTTGCGATAAGTCAATTCCATGTTCCACCTGCGTCAAGTCTGGTAACGTGGAATCGTGTCGTTATCCGGGGCCAGAGCGTGCCAAGCGGCGGCCCCGGAAGGAAGCCTCCACGTCGCTTGTGGAACAAGTCGAAAGACTTGAACAGATTGTCTCGAATTCTCTCAAGCGAAAAAGGAATCACGATCAAGACGAACGACCCTCCAGAGTGCGATCGTCCTCTTTGGAGGGTAACTTAAGTCATCGGCATCCAAGCCACGGCCCGTCCAACTTTACCGGCCTGCTTGTCAAGGACGGCAATATGGTACGATATGTGAATGACCATGTACTCTCACATATCCTGGAAAAGGTACTGAACCTGACCTGAATTTCTGCAAATCATCCCTCAATGCTTTTCAGAACGAACATATTACTCATCGCGACGTTAGGAGGAGGAGATGCGCTCCGCCATGACCAGTCCGCAGAACTCTTCCAATGTGGATACTCCAGGTCCTGTACTTCAGCCGTTTTCTCTTTTACATCCTATCAGCCAAGCTGCATATGTTGACAACTTTGAGAGCCTACTCCCTACTCGCCGGCGTGCCATTCAGCTGTGGCAGACCTTTATTCTAAATGTCGATCCAATGTTCAAGATTCTTCATATACCGACTGTGCAGCCGATTGTGTACGCGGCCATTAACGAGCCTCATGATGTCAAGCCAGACCTGCGTGCTCTTTTGTTTGCGATTTATTTTTCGGCCCTCACTAGTACCTTGCGAGACGTTGCGAGCTGCTTGAATCAGGACCACGAAGCCGAGTTGGAGAGATTCAAGCGGGGCATCGAAATAAGCTTAAGCCAGGCAGACTTTCTGGATCAGCCCACTATGCAAGCTCTACAGGCGATGGCCATATTCATCGCTGCATTTCGGCGGTTTGGCTCTGGTCGTTCAATCTGGACTCTAAACGGCATGGTAATTCGGGCTGCACAGCTGATGGGCATTCATCGGGATGGAAAACTTTTCAATCTATCCCCTTTCGATCAAGAAATGCGACATCGCCTGTGGTGGAAGATCATCTCCACGGACAGCCGTACACTGGAGGATCAAGGCATGTGGACTACAGGCAATCGCTATCTGGGAGACGCTCGCTTGCCACTAAATATTGACGATCGAGACATGAGCCCCCAAACCACAAGTATGCCGCAGGAGCACATTGGGTTCGCCGAATCAACACCCCTCTTATCCATTTGTCATATTCATATAGCTGGAGAGGCAGTTGCTCAGCTTTTGTTGTGTGCCGATTTGGAGTCTTACTCAGAGAAACTCCCAGCTACACAGGAGGCAATTGACCGAACAAGAGCTGAGCTCGAGAAAAAGTTCTTTTCCAATCACAATCCTCATATCCCTATCCAGCGACTATTTAGTAACCTGACCAAAATGATACTTGACAAATTGGAATGGCAGTGCCAGGAACGACTGCTCCGCCATAAACAGAACAACGGCCGCGAAGACGCCAAGGGCGAGGCCAGAAATTACGACGCCGAGAGCGATGCGCTCTTTATTCGGGCGTGTGAACTTCTGGATGCAAGCTTGGAATTGGTTCTCGACGAGATCTATACAAGTTATACGTGGCATACCTCGAGCTATCCACCTTATGAACTGCTTACGTTCATACTGTGGAGGATGTATACGAGTTCGACACAGTCTTCAACGGATTGGGCTTGGCAGATCGTGTTACGCAGCTTTGCTAGTATCGAGGAGACCAGTATCATTCCAGACATGGGAACGAGATGGTCCATATTATGCAAGCTGAAGGAAAAGGTGGCTGGTCTACGAACGCATACTCAGAACAACTTACAATTTGTAGGCTCACCGGACCACAGCCCTCCACATGCAGGGTTAGAAAGAGAGGCTAGACAAGAGAATCATGATGCAGACGTGTCGCTGGAGGGAACAACATCTGACCTTGAAGATCCACTGTTTTCCATGGACTGGACCACGTTTCAACAAAGCTTGAATATGGACGGAATGTCCTGGCCGTAGCTATGATGTACACCCAATGCCCGAGTTCGCTGAGATAAGATTAAATAAACTTTGGTACAATATGAAAATGATGTGCCACACCGTGGCTGTGTAGTGTGGCACCCTTCGGGTTACACAACGGGAAGGGCTTTCTGAGCCTATTTGGATTCACACATTCTTTTCGTAGGTGTAGATCATCTTTGATTTTATTCTTCACTTGGATACTAGTCGTATGAGAAAACGAATAAAACTCTGCATCCGCTAGCAGTCTTGAACCGACGGCTCTAGTGACCGCCACTAAATAGCACATCCAAAAGTTGAGCGAGCAATGCATTCCTTCATTTCTTGAGGCGTAATTCGCCTGTTTCATAAATCCGAGGTACATATCCAAATGTAATCAAATGACGGTCCGCCAGTGAGAGTCGCCTCTTCGACAAGGGGGCTCGCGTATGTACATTCGGCCACGTGATGTAAATCCCCCGCTCGGCCATTCGCCAAAGACCGAGAGAAAATCCTCCCGGCATGAGAAAATAAAAAAGAGATGACAGGTCCTTTCAATTGTCAGCAACGGTATCTCAACATTTCGATCGCGAATAGATTTAGACATCACAGGAGTTCTCTATCAGTCTTTCCTTTTCAGACTCCTTTCCTATTCTGTTCCAATAGAGATCACCAATCTTCTCACTTTTTAACTTTATTTATATTTTTTTGTTCCTACTTTATTTGCCTAGCCTTCGCCATGTCGCATCTCAAGGATAAGGAGCCAGACTCTTCGCAGGATCAATCACAGCCTACAGGTTCAAACAAATTCGAGATAGACGACAATCGGGAAAACGCGACCGATTCTTCTGCAGCGGATGAGGCTGTTGGATGGAAAAGCCCCGCCCCGGATGGAGGCAGCAAAGCTTGGCTAACAGTCTTGGGAGTTTGGTGTGTCGCCTTTTGTAGTTTCGGCTGGATCAACAGTAAGTACAACGACCTTGTGGCGCAATTACTTGCTCTTTCCAAAGAAAAAAAAAAAGAAGAAAAAAAGAAAGCAAAAGATACATGAAAAGGAAATTCGATGGGCCGGTCTTCACGCAAATCATTTCTCGTCCTCCTGTGCTAAATCCCACGTGCAGGTATAGGTGTCTTCCAAGGTTACTATGAAAGCGTTTTGCTCAAGGATTATTCAGCTACTGCTGTTTCCTGGATTCCATCGCTCCAAATATTTTTCATGTTTTTCGGTGTAAGTAACTCTACCAAATGATCGAACAGCCACGCTCTTCAAGAAAGAAAGGCGAGACTAATACTATAGAGCTAGGGTCCTGTCGTGGGGCGCATATTCGACTTATCTGGGCCTCGATATATCCTTCTGGTCGGCTCATTTCTACATGTCTTTGGTCTTATGATGTGTTCCTTGTCTCACAGCTATTATCAAATCTTGCTCTCGCAGGGTGTCTGCAGTGCGATTGGTGTTGCTGCAATTTTCCAGCCTGGTGAGTGTCTCATAATTGCATCTTGATGGGTTATATACATGGACTAAATTTTCTTCAGCCATATCTTGTCTGCCAGCATGGTTTGACAAGAAGCGCGGTGCCGCCTTTGGGATTGCTGCCACCGGTTCCAGTATTGGCGGCATCATCTTTCCCATCATGGTGGCTAGGCTGATTCCTCAAGTCGGATTTCCTTGGACGATGCGGATTTGTGCGTTTCTGATACTCGGTCTTCTCATCATCGGAAACCTCACTGTTCGTGCACGCTTCCCTCCAAACCCCAAAACCATGTCCCGCAAGGATTTGCATGAGCCCTTTACCGACATCAAGTTCATCTTTATTTGTGTTGGTGTCCTATTTCTCACATTTGGCATCTTTATTCCCATCAACTACATCACGGTTGAAGCCTTGTCAAAGGGTGTCGCATCGAGCCTCGCACAGTATCTGATCGCAATCCTCAATGCTGGAAGTGTCATTGGCCGCTTGGGCTCCGGCGCGCTTTCGGACAAGGTTGGCGTGTACAACATCTTCATCTTTGTTTGTCTTCTGTCGGCCATTTTCATCCTGGCGCTCTGGATACCCGCATCTGGAATAGGCGCGCTGATTGCCTTTGCCGCCATCTTTGGATGCACTTCTGGCGCCTATGTCGCCTTGGCCACTCCAATCATCGCCAAGATCTCACCTCTGCCACAAATAGGATACAGGACTGGGCTATTGTATCTGTTCTCATCAATCGGTGGCTTGACGACCAACCCCATTGCTGGTGCAATTTTGGACAAGTGGAATGGATCGTACACCGGGATGAAGATCTTTTCTGGTGTCTTGCTACTGGTGGGTACAGCTTGCATATGCGTGACACGGCTCATGGCAACAAACGGCAAGGCCAATGCGATATTTTAACTTTTCGTGCGCGCCAAGGACGGATGATACTCCTAGACATGGACATGGGGCATGGACTGCAGAGACTTGGATAACAGTCTGATTTATTGTAATTAACATCTTCTCTCTTCACTAGAAATCTTTAATCCACAACAATGTAGGCCTTGCCAATGCATCCCTTCAGATCTCTCAGTACGCCTTGACTGTGTTACAGTGCCCGCAATATCCGCACACTGCCGAGCAAGCTGTGTAGTCCACACCTTCGTCGTCCCACAGGATAGCCTCGATGCTTGACTCATCAGACGCTGAAGTCTCACTGTCATCTTTCTCATTCAGGGTGAGCCATTTGTCTCGTACCGTCGGAGAAAGTGCACTACCAGCATCTGGAAGCTGGTGGCGGAATCGGAGGAGTCCCAAATGGTCCTTCATATGACAGACTTCAAATTTCCCCTGCTCGACTTCCTCGGCCGTGTCCATGATGCGACGAACGAGCGAGAGGAATCTTGAAATGGCATTCGAATTGACGCGTTCCCACTCCAAGACTTTGTCGCGAACGTTGTGTATCTTGACATCATTGAAGACCCCATCTTTGTGGTGTGCCAAGATGAACTTGTGAAGTTGGCTCAGCCAAAGCCGCGGTAGCTCTTGAGCGGTCGTATCTTGATCCCTTTTCCATTCTGATCTTGTCTTGAGATCAAAGATCTGCTGTTGGGGGATGCTGGCTCCTGCCTGTTTGATTTTGAGACTAATGTCGCCGGTATTGGCTGGCTGTACCTCGCTAACACCCACCGTATTGAAGGCAGACGTCAGAGCTGCAGCAGTAGACTGCGAAGGGTCAAGTACCTCGAGATGAGATGTGCGTTTCTCCGGACTGTTCGTGGTATCTGGAATATATCCGTCCGCCTCGAAACGGACAAGGCATTGGAGCCCGCCCAATGTGTATCGCAAAACTCGCTGATGTGATGTCGATGACTTGACATCTTGGTTCCACGTAGTATATGCTTCAGGAAAGGTATGGCCATGACCTCTGACACCCAAGATCTTTTCCGTTGGCGATCTTTCGCGGCGAACGAGAAAGACTGTGTTCCCAACTTTCTCCACGAGTATTCTGAAAGTCTTTTCTTCCCCACGAATGAACCGCAGAAGATTTCCAAGAGTGCTGCTGCAAGCGACAATATCGACTGCATTGCTTCCACATACCTGCGGGGACTCTTTCATCGCGGCTAGTATGGCCGGCTCGATCGGATGTGCTGGGTACCGGGCAGCATTGCGGTCACGAAGATAGTCGCCGCTATCCTGGGGCAATCGTTCAACTCTCGCGGGAGGTGACCATCGCGGCGGCATGCCTGCGTAGAAAATGTCAGCCACTTTGAGTAAATCGTACACATAAGTGTTGTGGACTTGCCTGGGATGAGCATTTCTGGGGCTCGCGCATTTGTCCAGTTCCAAGAAGCGACTACGCTGCAGTTTGTGATACGAGCGATCGACTTGTATCGTGTGATGTCTTTTGAAAATTCATGGGCATTGTATTCGTTGATCGAGGGGCCCAATGGTAGCTCGGGTAGGTCTTCAACTTCTTGCGGAGGAAAGCGGCCAAGTGTTCCACGTCGATACCCACGCCAGTTGGCACGCCCTCTTCGGGGGTATTGCTGTGAGGAGTAGTACATGGCTCGTGACTTGTCGAGTGAGGAACTCTGCAGGTGCGATACGGTTGGGATGCACTTCTCTGGGATTATCCAGGTGACTTGAAAAACATGAAACCAGAGAATGTGGCATATAGATATGGATATACCGTGCCATTCTAGCACAGTGCCCTTCCTGTCACGTGGTCTTCTTTGCATTCATTCACTTGATTTGGTCGATAAGAACTGTACATAATGCACGACTGAGCTGTTCGTGGTTTTGCAAAGGGTAGTGCGACAGGTGCGGGACAGGTTAAGAGAAGAAATTGATTGGCGCCCCTCGAGCTTCTTTCTCGACCCTCCCGTATTCATAGGTGTAGATAATCACTCTGGTATCTTTGATGGACTGTTCTACCATATTATAGGTCGGTGCGTCTCTCGTGGTCTAGGCATTGGTGCCTGTCTGGCCTCCAACATATGTTATGGTAGCTTCTGTCCGGCCTCCCGCATGCTGCAGGCTGCCCAATCGCTCCAAATGGCCAATGATGAGCCGCATAGACATTTCCAGTGCCTTTCAACAGAAACCCAGTCAAGCTTGATTTTCCGGCATAATTATTTGCTTTTTGCTTCCTTTCTTTTCGACATAGCTAAGACTTTTATAAGGTAGCTTCTTACCTAGACATGGGGAAGAGTCGTCTTGATAGCAATACTTGATCGCCAACTAAACGCAGCACATCATGGATATGCCAACGACCATTCAAGAAACCCGCGATGACAGTCGTGCGATACGCTTGCGCAAAGTCTTCAAGACCGTTCTTAGCGGTAAAAGAAGCATCGCAGATTCTGGCATCGCGAAGTTGTTCCTCGAAGCTGTCCGGAACCATGAGAACCCGAGCACTTGTATTGAAGAAATCTTGGCCAGCAAACATGGGCTGGCTGCAATACGATCGAGCGTCCGCGTTGATCTTTCTGTTCCCTTCCTTCAGGAATATACGTTGGGGCTCGTCCAGTATCTATCTCATCCCTCAATCCGAACATTATCTGATGGCCAATTTCTGTGGCAGATATTGTTGTCGATCGTGGAGCCTCCAACGGTGTGGAATGCATTGAACAATGTCTTCAAACAATTCGAGGAACATTGGCTAGAGCCTTTTGCTTGGATTGCACTGGAGCTTCTTTCTAATACCACTGATCAAGCTCCTGATGTTTGTGCAGATGTGCAACTCATTCTCGCTTCCGGCAGACTACAAAAGGCGGACTCACATGCTCTTCGTGATGTGGCTTACAAACTCCAGAAGCTCATCGTCACCAGAACTCAGCCTGAATCAAGTCCCAACGGGTACTCCCCTGGAGGAAGGCATGACAACGACTTTGCCGACTTCCGAAAGATAGAGATATACCCGACTGCTGACGAATTACTCTCCACTGAAAAGCCCTACTATCTGCGCTTGGACGAGGCTTTCCAAGCGGAACCATCGACCATTGCAAACATCCATCTCGACAATCAATTCCGCTTGATGAGAGAAGACATGCTCGCCGAAATCCGATATGATCTACAAGTCGCAACGGAGAAGAAGAAGGGGCGACGCCGAGCGCTAAACCTCGAAGGCCTCTTTCTTTCTGGAATTGATTGCGGAAATGAGCGCCGCGGAAAATTGGTTTCACTGATCCTTTCTTGTGAGAAAGGCATTGAGGACTTGAGAAAGATTCCACAAGCTCAACGACGCCAGTTCCTGATTGACAACAAGAACTACTTGAAACATCAGTCATTTGGCGCTCTCATGTGTGGCAATCAAATCCTCGGATTCGCCTTTCTCCAAAGAGAACTGGACCTACTCTGCAAAGAGGAGCCACAAATCTGTCTTCAGTTTACCAATCGCCAGAATCTGAAGACTGCGCTTCAGATGCTGCGGACTCCGGCAAACTTGCATTTCGTCGTCGTCGACACCCCGGTGTTCGCACATGAGCCTGTGCTAGAGGGTTTGAAGGCGCTTCGCGAATTGCCTCTGGGAGACGCACTCATTCGTCCTGCATCAACAGATATGCAAACGGAGATTTCTGTCGCACCCCAACTTCAGCAAGCTATAAGCAGACTCCAGTCCATGGAAACCGAGGGCTGCGTCATCAAGCTTGGTGCCAAGAATGTGCGAGTAGATCAATCTCAGATAAGCTCGTTCGTGGCTGCCATTAGCCAGAGAGTCTCTCGCATCCAAGGCCCTCCAGGTTTGTTACTTACCTTTCCTGTACTAGTAGATTTTGGCGCGAAACTCATCCGTTTCATAGGCACTGGGAAGTCGTTCGTGGGTTCGTGGATAGCAAAGACGTTATTCGACTGTTCCGACCTTCGCATCTTTGTCATAAGCTATACAAACCACGCGCTGGATCAGTTCCTGGAGGAACTACTCGATGTTGGAATTCCGGCTACGAAAATGGTCAGGCTTGGTTCCAAGTCAACCGATCGCACCGCAGGCCTGCTTCTGTCTCAGCAGAAAGACGTCTTTCAGCGGTCCAAAGATTCATGGCATATCATGGATGCTCTCAAGGTGGAAAAGTACGAGCTGGATGACAGACTGAAGGGCACATTCGAGACTTACAAGCAATTCACAGCTTCGTTCGAGGTTCTAATGGAGTACCTGGAGTTCTCTGAAGATTATGAGAAGTTTCACCGAGCTTTTCAGGTTCCCCGTGGCGAGCAAAGTTGGAAGAGAGTCGGCAAGAAAGGCAAAGAAATTCGGCCAGACTATCTTTTCTCTCGCTGGTTGGATGGAAAAAGTCCAGGTGTTTTCACCAACAATGTGGCAGCAGATTGTGAAGAGGTATGGGACATGCAGACGCCAAAGCGCAAAGCTATCCATGGCAAATGGATCCAAGACATCATGGAGGAGCAATCAGACGAAGTTGAGCAGGTTGCGCATGAGTTCAATTCCATACAAGAGAATTTGGACGACATGTACAACGAAAGGACCATCAACATTTTACGGTCTCGACGCCTAATTGGTTGTACAACTACTGCCGCAGCCATGTACAACAAGGTTATTCGAGCCGCTGAACCAGATGTTGTAATTGTTGAAGAGGCTGGCGAGATTCGCGAGGCACACATCTTGACCGCCTTGGCACCTTCGGTGAAACAGCTGATCTTGATTGGGGATCACAAACAACTGCGACCAAAGGTGGACAATTATGCCTTGACAGTTGAGAAAGGCGACGGCTACAATCTCAACATGTCCATGTTCGAGCGGATGATTCTTCAAGGTCATGGCTACACTACTCTGTCCAAACAACATCGAATGCACCCCGAGATATCGTGCTTACCTCGGGCGCTCACGTATCCCAGCCTCTTGGATGGACCGTTCACGTCAGAGCACCCCTTCATAAGGGGTCTCCAAGACAGAGTCATCTTTGTCGACCATGATCGACCTGAAACTGCAAGCGCTGTCCTAAGCGACAAACAGGACTCCAAGACAAGTTCGAGCAAACAAAATGATTTCGAGGCCCAAATGGTTCTCCGATTGGTAAGGTACCTTGCGCAACAGGGCTATGGTACGGACAAGATGGTGGTTCTCACACCGTACTTGGGTCAACTCCGCCTACTGCGAGACATATTGAAGCAAGAGAACGACCCCATTCTCAATGACCTTGACTCAGCACCATTGATACAAGCCGGTCTCCTGACCCAAGCAGCGTCCAAGGTTGGAAAACGTCCGCTTCGACTTTCAACCATTGGTAAGTTGCCCTAATATGATGGTCTTTTCTAGATAATTAACAATTGTAGATAACTATCAAGGTGAGGAAAGCGACATTACCATCATTTCTCTTACCCGAAGCAATGCACAAGGTGATATTGGATTCATGTCGGCACCAGAACGCCTCAATGTCATGATTACGAGAGCAAGAAATTGTCTCATCATGATCGGAAATGCGCGCACTTTTATGGACAGTAAGAAGGGCACGAAGACGTGGAATCCATTCTTTCAAATCCTCAAGGACCGGGAGCACCTATATGATGGGTTCCCAGTCAAATGTGAGCGTCACCCAGAGAAAAAGGCCATCCTGAGTGTGCCTGCATCCTTCGACACCCATTGTCCCAACGGTGGATGTGCGGAACCTTGGTAAGAATGCCTTGAAATACTGTGACTTTGTTCTTTGCGAGCACACTGCTGATAAAACGACATAGCGGCACGCAGTTATCTTGCAGACTCCACATTTGCCAGCGTCGTTGTCACCTAGTAACTGACCACACCAAAGTTGAGTGCACTCAGCTCTTGACGAAGACATGCAATAGGCAACATGAGATCCGTATTCCTTGTCACAAGTCCAAATCGTCTTGCTACAAATGTATCAGTGAGGATCGGGAAACAGAGAGACGTGCGAAGCGTGATCTTGACCTAGAACGCCGAAGGGCTTCACAACAAGCTGTTTACGCAAAGGAGTTTCAGGAGATCCAGGACGAGATTGACCACGAACGACGCACCATGAAGTACGCCGCAGAAGAGGAAACACAGAAATCCCAGCTTGAACAACAACGCCAACAACTGGCTGCCCTGAAAGAAACAGCCCAACGCAAGAAGGCCATGAAACAGACAGAACAAGCCCGAAAACTACTTGCAACAGAGAATGCAAAGAAAGCAGAAGTTGAGAAGACAAGGATGACGCAAAAAAAGTCTAGCGACATCACTACTGAGTGTTCAGACAGTGCCCAAGGGCAATGGGAGTACCTCAAACAGTCCGAAGGAGCCAAGATTAAATCTCTGGATCAATTAATCGAGATGATTGGTCTCGAAAAGGTCAAACTGCAGTTCCTGGACATCAAGGCTACGGTTGACACCAAGGTAGGCGAGCTAATGTAATCTTCATGGATTTGTGACTAAGAAATAATATTTGCAGATACGGCAGAATGTTGATTTCTCAAAACAGAGATATGGCTGCTCCTTTCTCGGAAACCCAGGTACAGGTGAGTTTCCCAAGACATGCCAACCATGAGGTCGTGCTTGATGTCTTCCTGAAGCGATTCGCAGCTGAGCAAACATTTGATACAGGGAAGACCACCGTTGCTAGACTGTACGCCGAATTCCTGGCCACACTAGGCGTCATTCCAAGTTCAATATTCGAAGAAACCAGTGGGTCGAAGCTTGCGAACATGGGGGTTGCTGGGTGTCAAAATCTGGTAGACACCATGCTCGAGAAAGGAGGCGGTGTGGTTTTTATTGACGAGGCATATCAATTGACCTCGGGTAATAGTCCTGGAGGTGGTGCTGTTGTCGATTATCTCCTTGCGGAGGTAGAGAACCTAATGGGCAAGATCGTTTTTCTCCTTGCTGGATACAAGAAGCAAATGGAGACCTTCTCTGCACACAATGCTGGAATTCCTAGTCGCTTTCCGATTGACATGGAATTCGTCGACTACACTGATGATGAGCTTCTCAAGATCCTCAATCTCAAGATCCACAAGGGATGGAATGGCGCAATGAAATGTGAAGAAGGCACTTTCGGCTTGTACTGCCGCATAGTCGCCAGGAGGATTGGACGTGGTCGCGGTCATGAAGGATTTGGAAATGCAAGAACCGTGGAGAACGTCCTCGACCAAATCTCCAGACGCCAGGCCACACGGATCTCCAAGGCACGACGCAACAAGCTCCAGCCGAATGATTTCCTATTGACCAAAGAAGATCTCATCGGCCCAGCTCCTTCAGAAGCCCTGTCGCATTCGCCAAGCTGGAAGAAATTGAGCGAAATGATCGGACTGGAGTCGGTCAAAGAGACTGTCAAAGTTCTGCTCGACAGTATTCAAATCAACTATCAGCGTGAACTTGCGGAGGAGCCTTTGGTGGAGTACACACTCAACAAGGTCTTCCTCGGGAATCCGGGAACAGGCAAAACAACGGTGGCCAAGCTGTATGGCGCAATACTTGCTGATCTGGGTCTCTTGTCTAATGGCGAAGTAGTGGTCAAGAATCCGTCGGACTTTATCGGTGCCGTCATTGGGGGATCCGAAAAGCAGACCAAAGGCATCCTTGCATCCACAATTGGCAAGGTACTCGTCATTGACGAAGCATATGGTTTGTATGCAGGCTCCTCCGGGCTGGGCGCGCGGAGTAATTCTTTCCAAACTGCCGTCATTGATACCATCGTTGCGGAGGTACAGTCAGTGCCTGGCGACGACAGGTGTGTTTTGCTTCTTGGGTATAAGGATCAGATGGAAGACATGTTCCACAATGTCAATCCAGGTCTCAGTCGCCGCTTTCCAATGTCAACAGCTTTCAACTTTGCGGATTTCAGTCAGGGTCAACTAGAACAGATCCTCAACATGAAACTCAAGCAGAGTGGTTTTCAGGCCACTGGAGAAGCAAAGAAAGTAGCGCTGGAGATGCTGGACCGCGCACGGAACCGCCCAAACTTCGGAAATGCTGGCGAGATTGACATCATTCTGAACGATACAAAGGCACGCCACCAGAAGCGATGTTCTTCTGGTCAGGCGGCATCTTCTCAAGTTTTCGAGGCGATTGATTTTGACGAAAACTTCAACCGGGCTGAGAATACCGAGACAAATGTTTCCAAGCTCTTCGAGGGAACAGTTGGCGCAGAGGAGATCATTTCCAAGCTCCAAGGCTACCAGGAAACTGTGCGCGACCTCAAGTCCTTGGAAATGGATCCAAAAGAGAGCATACCATTCAATTTCTTGTTCAAAGGTCCACCTGGAACGGGCAAAACAACCACCGCCAAAAAGATGGGCAAAGTCTTTTACGACATGGGCTTTCTCGCCACGGCGGAAGTTGTTGAGTGCTCTGCCAGCGATCTAGTCGCGCAGTACATTGGCCAGACGGGACCAAAAGTGCGGCAGTGTCTCGATAAGGCGCTTGGAAAGGTTCTCTTTGTGGACGAAGCTTACCGACTAGCCGAGGGTCATTTTGCACAAGAGGCAATAGACGAATTGGTCGACTCTGTCACCAAGGAGAAGTACTTCAAGAAGCTCATCATAATCCTGGCCGGCTACGACTCGGATATTGACCGTCTAATGACTGTCAACCAGGGGTTCACATCGCGATTCCCCGAAACGGTGTATTTTCGGAGCCTGAAAGAGGACGAGTGCGTTGCGCTACTAGGCAATGTGCTATCTGCGCGGCTGAAGAATCTGAAAACGAAGAACAATACTTTCGATTTCTCGATCCTTCTCACGCCGACGCCGGCATTCCGGGCGCGATTGGAAGACTTGTTCTTGAATCTCATCCTCCAATCAAGCTGGGCCAGTGCCAGAGACGTGAAAACACTGGCAATGGAGGTTTTCAAGAAGGTGATCAATCTGAAGAGTACCGGCACTGAGAGACGGTTTACACTCACAGAAGCAATTGTCATTGATGAGCTCCAGTCGATGTATCAAGAACGAGCAAAGCGCAATCTAGCGACCGCGTCTCGCTCTCGAAATCGGAACAATAATCTTCCAGCCTATCAACCTCGGCCAGATATCAGCAGTTCTGTTGCTAGAGACACGTCAGCCGGGATGCAGTCCAATGCCAAAGAGGACGGCCCGAGTCCGCCCTCGGACAATTCCAAGGATGCGCAAAAGTCAACAAAGAAGCAAGTGCCAAGACCTGACGGGCATCAAGCTACACGTGACGCCGGCGTGAGCGATGAGGTTTGGGCACAACTTCAAAAAGACGCCCAGGCCGCACGAGAGCGTATTGAAGAGACCAAGAGGCTCCGCATGGAATTACACACGACTTCGGAGGCCAATAGGGACAAGATTGTGAAAAGGCTTTTGGAAGAGGAGCGCAAACAAGCTGAAGAGCTCGCTATGAAAGAGAAGCTCAAGATGATGGGACTTTGTCCCATGGGATATGATTGGATCAAGCAGGCTACAGGATATCGATGCGCAGGGGGGTCGCACTTTATACCAGATCCGTAATCCGGCTGGTGCATCCAATGCCGGAATCAAGCATTATTGTGCACTGAGACTGAGACTGTGAGTGAGAGAGAGAGTGTGAATATTGTTTATAATATTTTCTGACTTCCAATGTTAAAAACATCCCATCCTTTTAGCCGTGAGATCGCAATAATACATTTGACTTGTTATCGCAAAGGGCCTTGCCCAAGCCCAAAATTCGTACTCATGCAAATGCAACCGAGCTGAGATCTCTGCATATTTCCAAAATAATAATATAGTTGTTACGGCCAGTTTAGTGCAACCCTTATCATCAGGTGATCTCGAAGAAACGAGAAGTTTTATTTTGTTCTAGTATTCCTGTAGCTTGATTACTTACTCTACATAATGCTACTTGGAATATAGTAAGTAAAGACTTGCCGATCAATCTCGCTTCACTCCGATAACACCGACCCGGTGCATTCCCATAACACACACTAGACAGACAAATATCATCCAGCCAAGAATAGCCCAAAAGGCGATCCTATACCCCTTCGGACTGGCTGACGTACGAGAATCCGTCCTTTCCCCTCACAATGCAGCTCGACTGACGCCGTGATGATAGCAGCGACTGAGTACATATCGTACCTGAGCTAACGTGTGTGAGGGGAATTTGAATAAGGAACGTCATCAGCTACGGTTGTGTGCAACAAGCATACTACATAAACAGCAGTGTAGACGTATTCATACGGCTCTCAACGCTTAGCTTGGAGAATCAAAACGAGCTTGAAAACGAATGGACGTAAAGATAAGACATATCTATCAATATATTATACGCTTTTCAACCTGATCAAGACGAATTATGGTCGTGGCAGAAAAAGCAAAACCCAAATGCTGCTTTTCCTATTTACTTACTTTATTTACACCTTTACACCATTGACTCGGTGAACTCCATTCGTACCGTTCACCCCGTTCACCCCGTTCACCCCGTTCACCCCGTTCACCCCGTTCACCCCGTTGGCGCTGTGCACCCCATGCACTCCGTTCACTCTGTTCACCCCGTTCACCCCATTGACACCGTTCTTGACAATCGGCTTGCGTTGTTTGGACTCGAAAGCGAATGCAACATCATCGCTCATGTAGCCATACCAAGAATCCTCCTCCTCGGAAAGCACTGGCCAATCAGGAGTCGGGTAGTTGAAGTCTATCTCAACGTTACCGCGCCAGTCATCAGCTGCCAGCTTCAGAAGTCCATCGAGAATAGCACATGTGGGAACATGAGATTCAAAATCGCTCTGAGTTGGTTTGTCGAGTAGCCACCTTTCGAACACGTCGCATTCGGCGGAATACGAATATGAGTTGCCATAGGGGCGCTCATAATGCTCGTGGCGAACAAATCCTTGGGTTCGCGCGAGTCGAGCATTGGCTCTTGTCACGACATGTGCGGCATTTAAGCCACGGAGGTCATTGTCGTCAAGGCGGGCATAGATGGGCTGCTTTGAAACGTTGGCAGAAATTGAGAAAACTGTACCAAGTCTAACGTCGACGTCGGTACAATGCATTCTGCCATTGATGTTGTACGGCACGTCTGGAAACGGGCCCCAGGAGCGTATACCAGGCGTGGTCTGTTCCAAGGAAATTGTCCCCAAGCACAGCACGCGGCCAGAGGAGCGGAACTTCATTGCAAACGACGCAACAATATCAGTTTCGCCATATTGATGGCCGTCTGGTAGCTTGGAAAACTCTGGACGGTACCCTGTCGTCTGCTTTTCGAGGTCGCCAGTCCTCATCTGCTGATCGTGGGGACCGGCTGTGAAGCCTTGCATAACGATGACAAACTCCTCGTTGGGAAAGAGCTTCTTGTTCATGAGAAGAAGGCAAGCCAGGTTATCAATGTAGTGATAGGCTCCGTGCATAAGCATGCCGTAGCCATACTTGTAAGGGTGGTCTTCTCTCGAACCAAACTCAGAAGGGAGATTCCATACACCCGAGGCAGTTTTGATGTGGACAGACGTGATAGGGTGCTGCAGACGATCCATCATCAAGGCCACTGGCTTCCGTACTTTCTCTTCATAGATCTCGTGCAGTCGACTAAGGCACAAGACTGCAGTACGTACGCCGGCATCGGCCGACGCTTTAGCAATATGGTGGACGCTTGGCATGAGAGCCTGGCGATTCATCACACCATTCTTCATTGGCAGTACAATTGGCTTTGTGACCAAGATGTCAAACCCCTTGGCTAATGCATAATTGATGTATGCACCATGAGACTGTGGCTCTGTCATGACAACCACCTTTCTCCTAACGCCGGGCTTAGTGAACATGTCCTGCCGTACGATCCATTCGATCCCCGAGTCGGGACCGTTTTGCAACACATGTTCGGGGATGTATGTGCATGTTGCAGGCTTGGTGGGCAATTTGGCGAGCCGGGCCTCGACTTGTTGCTGCTGAGACTCTCGGTCGATGACATGATAGCGACTCAAGTGGCCATCCGATACGGCGTTGTGTATGCACCTTGAGTACTTGTAACCGGCAACTGGGCCGAAACCGATAATGATAAGCTCCATAGTCATGGCAAGATGTTGTACAGGCGCTGATGCTGCAAAAGCAATGCAGACAATCCTCAGCTATCTAGGCTTAAATACAAGAACCAATGTATCTCGATAGGATTTCACCTCACGCAATCTGACGACAATCGTCGAAACGAAGTACCTGAATTTAGTGTCTCTTAGCGCTGATTGTAGGAATGCGAGTGGATATATCAAAAAATCAAGTATTGGTACATGTTGAAAAGGGTTGAGGTACCATTTGACCAAGAAGAGTGATACTGGTGATGGAGATACTCCCCATAATTAATCGTTATACCTATCACAATATCTGCATTACAGTAGGCGGCTGGCGGCTGACTCCTATGTACCGACTATCCTGACGATGAGGTGGCGCTTGACTATATCCACTTGTGGATATATAAATCAGAACATGCATACTATGTACTGCGTATGTATAGTGGTTGCGGGCAAAAGTTATCATTGCCTATTAAGTATCTTACAGGGCTTCTTGAAGCGTGGGGCCAGATTAGGTTCGCAGCCAAAACTGCACAGACTGCACAAGTCCGAGCAGCCACTCCCCCTTGTCTAGTCTACAGGGTGGAGATCTACTTCACACACAGCCAAGACTGACTGTGTACAATCACAGTATGACCCGGCTTCCGGCTCCCCCGACTTCCCCAACTCCCCGCTAGATATCTGGCAGGGGTAACATCAGGGTTGGTGTATAGGTGTTACTATGTACTGTGTATAGATGGATAAGTTGATCTGCTATTTTGGGCCCATTAAATTAACATCTCAGTACAAAGTACGAAACATGCCAGCCAAGCCAGCTAGTTTACAACACCGTGCCACATGCGCCGCATGCGCCGCGCATTGCTGCCGTTGCACACCGCAGTTTCAACCACCAAGAAAAGCTTCTGATAGGGTGCATCGGACCTACTCAGTAGCCTATCCGGTAGCCTATCGAGTAGCCGGGCAAATGATGTACCATGTACACCTCACTTCATCTGTACGTTGCTGAAGAGTTATCGGGATATTCCACTTATTTTCCCAAGTTCATCCTCGGTTGACAGTACATAGTAAGGATCGAGCATCCTCCAGTGGCAAGATTCTGGTACAGGCTAGAACCATGGGATCCAAAGGATCTACGCAACTATACATCCAATCCGAGTGAAACATCAAGAATCCATTGTATCGGTTAGTCAGACGAGTGTAATAAGCAAGCAATTATCTTCTTATCGATGATTGGGGCTTTCTCCGGCCCTACATAATTTGCCAAGAAACATCTACTTAGCATGGTTCATGTGCCAATGCACGAAGGGTTCTGTATTCATAAACCCAGCCACAAGCTGGTCCCCTGAACAAAACAAACCATACTGGATATGGTTAGCCGCATATTTGATGCCTACGACTTGATCATGTCATCTTGAACTATAGCTCTGCCATCAAAGACATTAAGCATCATATAATGCAACCTCTTTAGTTCTCAACTGTGGTATGGCTATCCCACGCCAAAGGCATGGCCTCGGAAAAGCCAAAGTGTACATAGATCTCAGATGCAGGCGATCAGTCTTGATTAATACATCACGACGAATAAGATCCAACTGATAGAAAGGCGCGTATGGTTTTAAAATGTATATTGCTATTCACAACGACAAAGACGCTACTGGTAACATGTACCCTCTCCACTGAATATATATCCCCCTTTTCACTGTATTCATCGCGCCGCACCACGCTAGGAATAGGTTTCTTGGAGTAACACCCTTAAACTTTGTAATTGTTAGCACCTATTAACAAAAACCTGGAGTGGTTGATACGATACTTACATCAAACGGGATTTTGAGCTGCTATCTGGTCTTGGAAACAAGCTTATGCGACAGTAGCGGCGTTAGCGGCATCGAAGCCGACGCAGCGAGCCAGGACCTTGCCATCGGCACCGACGGTGGCGCATGAACCACCGTCGAGTTCAGCACGGCGGGCGACAGTAGCGGCACTGGCGGCATCAAAGCCAACGCAGCGGGCCAAAATCTTGCCCTCAGCATCGACAGTGGCGCAGGAACCACCATCCAGATCGGCACGGCGGGCCAAGGCGGCAATGGCAGTGACAGTAGCAGCGTTGGAGGCATCAAAACCAACGCAGCGAGCCAGAATCTTGCCCTCAGCGTCAACGGTAGCGCAAGAGCCACCATCGAGGTC